GGATGCATCGAAGCGCCATTTTGTCTTCTAGTTTAAAAAAAAAAAAGTAAAACAACGCCCAGAGGAGAAAATAATTTCAGAGACGTCGCGCCATCCTGCCGCCATGTTGTGTTTTCTAGTGAAAACACAATACTAGAACCAACCCAATAAATAATTCCGTGCGCGCTAATGCCGATGTTTAGATAACCCGCCGCCTTATACTTCAAGAACTATGACCATACTGGCATCGCGATGCATGGTCTTCCCTCTTACATTTCCGTGTAAGCATTCAGGTATTGATGGGTATTGATATTGGGCCTCCGACACCAGGAAAAAACACAAAAAGGGCCGGGGCCGGGAGATCGAACCGAACACAGCGCGGCGAAACTCCGTGCTGGGAGATGTAAATAAATGATGCCAGCTTTTAGAAACCGGATCCGTTATTTATCAGCCGGAGCGAGGCGGGAGGTGAAAGAAACAGGTAGCATTGTTCCCGGCGCTGTTGCTTTTTTTTACGTCCATTCTTGAATTATTTATTGGAACTATTTACCTAATGTTTAGATTCAATGGGGACGGTTATTGAAGAATGCGGTAGTTCGTGATGGGTGTAGGGGCGGGGATGGGTCGATGGTGTTTGCTTCAATTACTTTTAAAGAATAAAAAAATATATCTGGTAACGGATGGGCATTTGGAAACACTCATGGCCAAATAAGTTTTTTTTTTTATCCTACTTCCTTTGTTAGGTAGTTTAATTTTTCAACTGCTAGAGACTACAGCACACTTCAGTACCTTCATCTGACTTAATAGAGTCATCAAAACCTGTCCCATGACTGGACTACGTCACATAAAGCTCGGCCCCCTCACGGTCTAGTACCATTTAATTTCCCTGAAACCCATTCCACCACCTCACGACTACGCTTAATAACCCGTAATTATCGATTTCTCCTGATCAAATTGATTTTTTTTTCTACTGTCTTTTAACCCAAGGGAATTTTACGACTTTCCGCAGTTTGCGGCCTCTGTTTCATATCCACTTTTTTTTTATTACCACGTCCTGGAAACAAAACCACGAGAATCCAAGTTTTTACTTTACTCAAAACTTCTCACTCGTAGCCTTAACTAGACCAACTTGATGACATCCGGTATATATATATATATATATATATATATATATATATATATATATATATATATATATATATATATATATATATATATATATATATATATATAAGCAAAGAAAGTAAATAAAAAAATCTGTAAATTATACTTTTCATTTTAGACTGCTATCCATAGTTTTTGTAAAGTAGATGTCATGTTTCTGTGACACGGTATATTACTAAACATCGATGACTGTGTTTGTCCTATGATTTTAACATCGATGACTGTGTTTGTCCTATGATTTTAACATCGTTGACTGTATTTGTCCTATGATTTATACGATCGCCTATTGATGCCAGGCTCAAGACGTGGTCGTACCGGGGATCGAACTTGCGACTTCCGGCTAGGGCGGAACTGCGCGCTCTACTAGTCGAAGTAAATTAGGGCGACAAAATGGCGGGTCCGACTTCAGCTGAAGTACGTCACAGTTACTTCCGTTTTGTAGAATATCTTGTTTTTGCTACTGCGGACATTTATAGTGAGAATTTCTCATGTAGCACGCATCAGAAGTGTCCGATGACGGATTAAGTATCAGAAGTGTCCAACGGAGCAATTATCAGAAGTCTGAAGTGAAGACCTCACGCATAGGAAGTGCCTGGAAACGGAGTACGTATCAGAACTGTCAGAGGAAGGAGCACTTAAGGTTGCTAAATCTAAAAGTCCCGAGTTCGAACCCCCAGGCAGACGAGGCTCAATAGCTGGGGGCAGCCATCCATCTAGGAGAGAAACTTCAAAATCTTGGATAGACAACGACTATGTTAGCAAAAAAAAAAAAAAAAGAAAAAGGCTGAAATAGGAGTCAGCCGGCCTATATAGCGCATAACAAGCTGACACATTATATATAACTGTGTTGGAAGAAATCCCTTCCAGTCCAGCATTACAATTCAGAACAAAGAGGAAACCTGTCTGATGACTTAACTTCTTTGATGTTTTAATAAGAACTTCATCCTACACGTGCCAACATTAGATAAAAGTCACTCAAACTTTAAATCTTCACACACATCAATGTTCATACAAACCGCTAGGTTTCCTCCAGCCAAAATAAACAAACAAACAAATTAATTAATTAATTAATTACTTAAAAAACCGCAATTAGCTATGATCTTTAAGCTTTTAATAAAAAGCAATACCATACAGTCCGTAAACACTTTAATAATGCGAGCATTAAGGCAGTACTGAACCGTACCGTAAAACGTTTACATATAGTGAGCATCAAAGCAAGAACTGAGGAAAAAAATTCTAATTTTGATAATATTGATACCATTAAATGATACAAAGAGAAATGTAACATAGTTGGGACGGTCGTGTTGTACAATTTTCGTAAGGGGGGGGGGGTGGGGGGGGGGGGTTGGGTGGTGGGGGCGGGGTCGTTCCCCTGGCTACAGATCTCATGCACTGTTCCTCATGTCATATCATCAATATTTACTTGAGCAGTCATGACATTGTTCTCTCCCTTGAGTAAGCCTGACACGAAATTATTCTCCCACCTTGCTCTGATACGACCCCCCCCCCCTCATCTGAAGAGGATGGACACGATTATCTACCAAGATTCGCGTATGTGAGTAAGGCCGGCATAATATTTCTACACCACAACTGATGCGATCGTCTCCCTTTAGCTCGACACAATCTTCCCTCGTGAGTAACGCTGACAATATTCTCTCTCCCCCCCCCCCCCCTAACTAACATTGACAATCGTGGAAGTTACACAGATTTTTGTAACAAGACAAAGAGTTTTTCTCACCTTACAAAGCCCATGGGGGAAGAGGGGTGTGGAAGGGATATTTTTAAAAAATAAACTAATTTAAAAAGCATCAGTATGTATGTATCCCCCCCCCCCTCCGACTCGCAACACGAGCTATGCCTGAAACCCCCTGTACTGCACCTGCGCTGGAAGTTTCACATTTTGTAACGAAAAAAAAAAAAAAAAAAAAAAAAAAAAAAAAAAAAAAAATTAGAAAAAAATAAAGAAAAGAAAAAAAATGTGTAGAAGATTGCCGGATAAAAAAAAAAAGTTGGCCAAGGCAGCAAAAGGCTAAAACAAGATGAGGTTTCGGTATGGATTGAGAGAAAACTCCAGCCGTGAAATTAACTGAGAACTTTAAAAAAAAAAACCTGTATATTTTTTCTTCTTCCCTTAAACTACTCATCCCGAGAGTGAGGCCGAGGGCTTTATATACCCCACCAAAAATTCTACCTCGGCTGAGCGTCAGCCTGCCTCAGCCAAAGACTTCGCGCTCTACTTAATCCGGGCTTCGTTAACTTCCCCCCGGTGGGTGCGCGGGTGGGGTGGAGGAGGGCTCCAGCGGTCTCTTCCCACGACTGGTCTGGCAGGTCTCCTGTTGGAGTCCAGTGACTCCATTGTTCACGGCCCATATACCCTGGACGTCACTCCTGGCATGTAACCCTACACGCATTGTGCCGCGGGTTCTTTTACATACCGCCACATAGCTGGCCGTAAACTGCGCACATACACATACATCATATCACCGACATACGTGTGTCTTATATGAAAAATGCGTTGGAATAAGTATACATATACATACATACATACATACATACATACATACATACATACATACATACATACATAAATACATACATACATAAATACATACATACATACATACATACATACATACATACATACATACATACATACATACATACATACATACATACATACATACATACATACATACATACATACATACATACATACATACATACATACATACATACATACATACATACATACATACATACATACATGCATACAAACATACACACACACAACACTCACACACACACACACACACACACACACATATATATATATATATATATATATATATATATATATATATATATACCATGAACTCGAACTGAACTGGAGCAGATTTCTAAATTTACATACATTATTCATAAGACCCATAGTCACAGTGGTCCAATTTCAACGCATATAGTCGATATAGTTGCAAGGCGTTGAAAGCTTTTGCCATGAAATATCTTTAAAATTATAATTCGTGACTTTATCTAAATTACAGATTGAATTATACAAGTCAATATTTTTTTTAAAGTTACGTTGGAGTAAAAAAGAATGTAAAGCACCCTTTGTAGCCTGATTGTCCATGAGGAGAAGAGTTCACCTGTTTCAGTAGCATTAGCATACGAACGTATAGAGTTGTAATCACTATGTCCAGATACTTTTACTTTCCTCAACATGAGTAAGGTACCCATCAGAGCTGGGTTTGAGCAGTTGGGCAAAAATATATACTTATACAAATAAAACTAGCTAAGGTAGTATTGCCTGCACAACTATTAAGTTTTACAAAAGAAATTTAAACATGGCAAAAAGTGCAATAAGGTGGTGCATGCGATAATGAGGAAGATAAAAATAACAACTCCTGGGGAAACTAAAAAAATGATACTTGTCACCCCCCCCCCCCCCCCCACAGGCCTCAGAAAGATAACTAAAAATTGTTATTCCAGACTCAGGTATCAGCCGTTGCGCCTCAGCGGGTTAAACTCGTCGGTTTTTGTTGAAGGAGCGACCATCGTCGACAGGTTCTTTCAGAAAAGGTCAAAATTTGTTTAGGGGTGTCTTAAACTTGGTTTTAAAATGTTAAACTAAAGATTATAAAATTAAGTAATACGGTTTAGTAAGTTAAACTTTGAAGTTGGTTTAGTGATTAGGACTCGGAATCATTCCCCCTTCCTCCGCCCCACCCCGTCTATCCGGGGCTGCGCAACTGGTGTTCAATCCTGGACTAGGCCAAGCAACAACCCTTTCACCCCCCTTCGTTTGATTTGTCGAGTGTTCTCCGCCACAGCACGCATGCGCAGTGACCCCACGTGTTCATAAACAAAGTTAGTCGGAGAGAGGGTATACGCTTTAGTTGAGTTTTGTGTAAGCTTGGGAACATCTAACACTTCTTTAACTCGGGTAGTTTTTTTTTATGCTGAAACTTTCTTAAAGCTTTCTAACATGGGAACTGAGACTAACAAAGATGATCGTAACACGCCTGAGTATCTAGCCCAGTTACTAAAAGATAAAAAACAAATTCAAGCTCTTCCAAATGTTTTCATTCATACGGAGAAAATTTTAGATGAAGGTAAGTTTACGAAAGTGAAAACAAAATTAGAGGAAAAAAAGTTTGTAGGAATTGTACTGAATTAAATATTTTGAATCGAGCAGCATACTTCTTATTCAGGTCCAAATCTATAAATAAAAATAGAATCTAGGACAATTTTATGTGAAGTGCAATCAAATAATTAAACAGCCTCGCTTTAACTTCAGCCAACTATTTTGTGCCGAGGGTTGCGATTTCCGAGGTGTCTAAAAGTTATTTTTATGCGTTTAAATGTTACCAAGTTAGTTAAAACATGTGAACCACTAGCTAGTCTTAATATACGAATCAACCTGCGTACGTTAAAGCCTACTTGAAGTTGTAGCGAAGCGACATTCCTGTGCTTAGTAAGTTTAATCAGAAGTAGGGCAGCCATCTTGAAAAGATTACCCTCCGGTCTGCGAGGCAAGTGTTAAGGCTTATTTTAAATGAGGGTTGGCAGGCTAGGCCAGGCACCTTTCTTTAGGTAGCCTATTTACTTTTGAGTATTAGAAAACCGTAACAGACAAAAACTCAATTCGGGCGAACATAAGTAGCTTCTAATTAGAAGCTAGTCTAGATTCTGAAGTAGGTTTTTTTAAGAAAATAAAAATTATTAGGCCTAGGCTATCCTTAAATTTTGTTTGGCTGTGCTGCGCTCATCCCTACTCCCCCCCACCCTTTATCTAGAACTACATGGGAGGGGGGTGGGGGCTCTGCCAGAAATGAGGCCGAAATATTGAGTTAAGTCTAGGCCTACATCTGTAATTCCTAGTTTTATGCTTAAGTTAGGCTTAAGTCAATATACATCTCCTATCTAGATCTAGGCCTATAGTAGTAATACAACTAATATTAAAAGTAGCATATGCCAGGTGTGTTTATATTGTTTTCAGTAGGGCCAACTGATGTTGACATAGCTTAATATTTTTTGGCTAATAATTTTAAAAGTTGTTTGATTTAAGACTTAATATGACTGAAATACTGATTTAAGTAAATCAAGTAGGTAGGCCTAATACAATCCATCATAGCTGTTTATAAAATGAGCATTTTTTAGGATCAGTGTGAATGCAGATATTTTAAAATGACCTCAGCTGTGTCTATATTAAATATGCTAAAACTCCATAGGCCTATACATGATTATGCAGATCAACCTTTATGCAGTAAGCTACAGTTTTTACATATGAACCAGTTTGCTTTTGTTTATGGAGAAAAAACAATTTGGATAGTAGGTTGTATCATTGAAGTCTAAAACAAAATTTGTATTGGTGGGAATTACAAGTCGGTTCTAGTGGTATTGGGGATTTAGTCATGTCCAGACTACATTTACATTCATGGGGGTTTTATCTCCTTTATCACCTTTCTGAATTATGCAGCTTTGATGAACATCAGGGTTTAGTGAGAAAATCAATACAGTATTGAACTGGGCAGTATCAGGGTGAACTTATCTAAATGGAGCAGGGGTATCTGTGGCTAGCAGAGGTCACAATTGTCTTATCTCCAATGTCCCTCAGTGAAACTCTAGCCCACTTCACCAGGAGTGGCTGTTCATAGATAAATCCATTGTCACCCCAACTTGTAGTGGTGTTCAGGGAAATCTCTTGATTTCACTAGTTTGATAAGATGCTGTTGCTAAGCTTAGTAGGCTTTTTAAAATCTGGCTTAGCTAAGAAGAAGGCAGGGGTCCCATGTCTCCTAAAAAAAAAATAACTGAAGAAAAAATTGTCCAAACGTATAGGCTAACTAGCGTAAAACAATAGTTTGTTATAAATAAGAAGCCTAGGCCTAGCCTATATGGTTCCAATTACTTATCTGCAGGAGTTAATTTTATAAATTAATACTATTAGCTTTAAATTGGAACATATTTTAAACCAAATAATATGCGAGCTTGGCTATGTCCTCCAATATCTTGTATATAGATTTATCTGTAAATAGAATATTTTTAAGGTTTTAACAGTTTAAAAGTTTATATTGTCTGCTTTACTAATTAGCAATCTATTAATGTAAGTGTTACAAACTTTACTTAACAAATTGCATGATGGTATTCACATTTTTTGAACACAATTATTTAAAACTAATTTTTTTTCACTAAACTCATACTTTTCTACGTTATGAAATTCACTATTTTGGTAGCTCGAAACTGAAAATTTGTGGTGGTCAGTGTCATCATACCTTGGTGGTTTGGATTGTTATTAACATTACTGTCCACATTTCATGTTGCAAACCCTGTCACAGTTACCCCTTTTAGGGATCATTGTTAAAAGTAATCCTTTTATGGATCATTGTTAAAAGTAATCCTTTTAGGCGTCATTGTTAAAAGTTATCCTTTTAGGCGTCATTGGTAAGTTATCCTTTTAGGGGTCATTGGTAAAAGTCATCCTTTTAGGCATCATTGGTAAAAGTTATCCTTTTGGCGTGTTTGGTAAAAGTTATCCTTTTAGGCGACATTGGTAACTTATCCTTTTAGGCATCAATGGTAAGTTATCCTTTTAGGGGTCATTGGTAAAAGTATCCTTTTAAGGGATTCCTGTTAAAAGTTATCCTTTAAGGGATTCTCTAGGATTGTTGCTTTTTAAATATTTTATACATTTTGTTCTGTTTTCCTCCAATCTTAAAGAAAATTCTAATGGCGAAATCTCCCATATTTGTAACTGAACAAACATGTACATTTAATTTAAATTCACTAACTAATCACCATGTCTATGTGGTTACTATTGTAGTACTAATTTTTTGTATCCAGTTTGCTTTAATCACTTTGTGCACCAAAAAACATCGTACCATAATTGTAGCCCGTAATGTAACTACTACTTGTTAACTAATAACAAACCCTTCACTGCTAATCTCAAACCACTAGAGTGGTCAGTTGGTCAGTCACAATCTACTTTTCCATACATGCAGACACCTAGCCATGTCTGGGAGTAAAAAAAAAAAAAAACTGGACAAAAGTTTTTAAACCTCGCCAGGTAAAGATTTTGTTTATTTTTATTTTATTTGTTTTATTTTCAATGTGTTTATCGTGCAGGTGTCTATTTGATTGTATTATAACCTAAAAAACCTTTCCCCCCTTACTCGTTTTTAAATGCCAAATGTTTCTTGTAGTTGACATTTTCCTTACTTTGCAATAAACTGCTTCTTATTTAGTAATCAAAAATAATTTCAAAGGTCTACATAAAATCTTTATTGTATATATAATTATGTTGGAATATATACTTTAAAAAAAAATTATTTTGCAATAAGATTTACAATTCATCACACTATGGATCAAAAAGATACTGCCATGAAATAACCTCACTCGTTTATCTATCCAGTTATTCTCCTGTTTCTACATGCCTTCCACATGCTTGCATATCCCCCAAAAATTATTCCTAGTTTTATTTAGATGTGTACTCTAGTTGCGTTTCTTAAATCGCCACCTCCTTAAAGATTTCTTTCCTCGTTTTAAACCTATTCATGAGCTACAGTTCCTTCTCCTTAAAAAATCCCCCCCATCGCAGATTTGCATTGATGGTTATTGATCAATTACCTCCCCTGGGCAGTTCAGAGTTCTCTCGCGTCGGTGCAGCGTGGACTAGCGAGTGTAATCAAGTCTCGGTGGTACTAAAGAAGAAAACATCCGGTCTCTCTGTAGCTGGTGCCGCCGGGTTTGATGTCCAGTCTCGGTGTGCACACAGATGTCTTGCAGTGGGTGTGTAGCACCTGTTCCCCGTGCTTCATTAGTTGGGCACGGCAGTAGAGCTATGCCCTTATTACAGTAGTTCTTTTACTCTTACATCTCCGTATACAATTACATACCCCGGCTCTACTTCTAAGTTTATTGACGTAATTTAGCCTACACACATTTCCATTTGTTTAAAGCGATTTTTTTTGGTAATCGATCTCCATTCTTCTAGTTTATTTAAGCCGATGTGATCTAATTCTCTCCCTCGCCCTTCCCTTCTCGTCCACTCAACTAATTTAGAAAACGCTATTGAATTACTTAATCAGTTTCCCCACAAAAAATATTCACGTTTATTTCGTTAGGAATAGCTCGAATAGAAATTAACCTTTTCTGAAACGTTTTCCCCTCTTTTCCCCAAAGAGTGGGAATCGCTTTAGTGCTGTTACGTGTTTTTACAAAGCCAGTATCGCCGGTGTTGTTTCAAAGGAATAAATTAACCATGTAATCGATGTTTCAAATATTGATGCCCCGTAATTGCTATTGGTTTTGTGTAACTGCTGGTCATTATATAAATTATTTTGCATTTTAATTGTCTTTAAATTTAGAAAGGCGATATAGACAGAAAAAGCGCGCATGACGTTCTTTGGTATATTATGTCTGGCATTCATATAGACATTTTTAATCACCCAACGTTTGTAATTAGCTACCTACGTCTTTGACCGTGTTAGATTTGGAGACATCCTATCTTGTCTGCTTGTTGAGTACACAACTTAACATGTCAGTATAGTATCAAACTTAAAAGGTATTGTATAGTACCCATGATTCTGGGTTTCATTTGTCTAAAGTATTCGATAGCCCTCCGATCTTCCCCCCCCCCCCCCTTATATTCTAACCAAAAGTAGTTAAGATTCTGTCAAGAGTTGATACCCCTCTAAGGCAAGAGGGGATCAAACACTCCTATGCAAGAGTTCGATTTATCTTGTGGATTTATAATTGACTAGTGTCGTAAAAAATATAATCTGATACTAAGTGGTTTTTAAAAAACAAATTATACCATAACATTAAGTGTCGCTTTAATTACCACTAAAACTTGTCGTATAATCAGATACAGAACTTGGGGCTTACCTCCTGTACGTTGGGCGTGCACCCAACCGTGAAGGTTGGAACTCACGACCCGCGGAATTTTATCTTGTGGTATTCTTCTATTCGAAACATTGGACCCCCCCCCCCCCGCCCTACTACACACTTGATCGTCTGGGTGACCTTTCTTCCACCCCCTCCCCACCCTCGGGCTACTACCTGTATCATCTTGTATCTGTCGTTCCAGTGCCGTATTTGAATGGGGTCGGTGGACCGAGACGCGCCCCGATAGAATGGGGGGATTTTTTTCTTACAAAAACTGTTGCTGAGTGTCGTCACGGCCGGTCAGGTTTCAGACATAGAATTGATCGTGCTGTAGACTCGGTGGGCCTTAGCTTGCTCGCTGTGACGTGGTGTGCTGGTGTGTCAGTCATGTGCTTGCTGTGTCGGGGTGTGTCAGCAGTGTGCTGGTGTCATCTATCACGCTTAAGGCCAAGCGGATATTGCCACACTTACTACTTAAATACGTACTATTTTTACCTTCTTTTCTTGGGGTTGCAGTTGTGGAGTTTAATTTTAATGTATGAAGAGTGGTCCAGTTCTTTTTTTTAAACGTGACTTGTCTCACCTGATTTTGTAACACCCCCCCCCCCCCCGAAGATCTTTAAGCCCAGGGATATTTTTGATGTCGGGATTAGTGGTTTTGATGTCTTAAGTCGACACGGAAGTAAGGTGACGTCAGCCTTCTGTCGCGTTGCTCCGACACAACGCGGCGATGCTATGTCATGCATGTCATACCCAAGTTGCGAAGGGTTGTTGAAAATAATTTTCTACATGACGTTTATTTATTGTCCCCCTGAAGATACTAATCCCAACATACGAGCGACAAGGACGATGCGGGATTAAGATTTTATGGGGAGAACGTTTTTATTCACTTGTTTTAGTCCATACACAAGATAGAGTATTTGATATTTAAAGTAATTTCTCCACTAGTCTATTCAAACTAGCCTACTTTTTGGATTTCCAAAACCAAACGTTTGTTTAGTTGTCTGGAGTGTTGTTGTCTAGGTCATTGGTTAATGGGTTAAGTCTTTATTTTCCAGACCTTCAGTGAACTTTACCATTACTAGTTCCGTTACAATGTTGTGTTGAAACCAGGAACTGGTGTGTTATGCATGCAGATGTATCCAAACTCGTTTGTCGTTTTTATTGAAGGAAATTATATCAGGTCATGGGTTCTCAAAGATTTAATTAAGCAACAAAAATCCCACCGTGCTGTCTGGAAAGTAAAACTACATATGTTCTTCCACGTTTGACCATTTAGTGTAATCAACACACTGATAGAAAAAAAGTATTGTTAAATCGATTTTCGCCGTTAGCTTTTTCACCTTTTTGTTGTAGGGGTTCCATAATTTATAGGGTTGAGAACCGTCACGTAGACGATATCCGTGGAGAGGATATGAAGCGACGGATTTTTTGCCATTCTTTGGAATAAGTTTCTCATTTTTCAAGTAGTCCTGCCCGGGCCACACAAAACGTGGGATTTAGAGACCGGTGTAGCAATAAAATACTCCCTGACGCTGTCTTAGTATTGTGGCGCCTCCCGTCGGCTTTAGCCCAACCATGTAGCAATGGGGAGACTGTTTATGGGGATGTCTCTACGGTTAATGTTGCGTTTCGTTGTCTAGATCTTTGTTTCATGTCGTTTTATATTATGTTTTGAGTCTCGTTCATAAATGTCTTTACATACAGTACCAGAAGCATCGTAATAACACATTGAATCATACAAGGCACGTAACTAAGTAAATATTTATAGTATGCGATTACATTAATTGAATAACACTTTCAATTAAAACAAATATCTACAGTATTTAGGTAGTTTTGACATATTTCATGGATATTTTGAATCAAAATACTTTAATTTTCTCTACTCCAGCAAATTTATTTAAACGCGTTTTAAACGCCATATCTGAAGTAAACATGACATATTTTTAACGAAACGAAAACATCTTAATCACAAACAACGGAAGTGGGAAGTGTTTCTTCTCAAACAGATTTTATTGAGAAATGTTTGAAACGATTTCCTAATGCTGAAATGTTACGATATAATTTCAGTTTTTTAAAACCGCTACACATGTGCATAAATTGGTAAATTTTATAGAGCAGACCATTCCTCGGCTGAAAGTTTCGTTTATCCATATGCTTCACGCGTTCATAGTGTTGTAAACGCAACACGTTTACTGCATATTTAATAAAAAAAAATATTTTTACATGGTACCCAATCATAATTTATAAACGCCCGTTTTGAAGATCAGAAGATCAGTTATGATGAGAGAGTATTCCCCACATGTCTGCATAATAAATGTCGGTCAGGCTGTCGTCCAGTTGTTTCCCTTTAGCGTTACACTTAAAAGGCTTCTTTTCTTTAAACGGCGTGACGTTTATCAAATGAAAACCATATGATGGGCTAATCACCGTGGTTTATGGTTCAGTTTATTTAATTTCGCCCTCACACAACGCTGGTAGCTGAATGTTTCATCACGAATATGTAAATTATCTACTCGTTTAACCACAATGAACTTTGTAATTGCTTGTCCAATAAAATCTGGCAAAAGTAAACTTTTTGACAATATCTCGTAATTTAAAATAAAATATATAACCATTACATTCCCCATCATTTTAAACGGTAAAAGAACAAGAAGCGAGTATTTGGACCTTAACTAATTCTTGTCTATTGCAGCTATCAGATCAGTTGTCGTTCGTCTTTTTTAATCCAGATTTTTTCTCTCCCGATATCCATCTCTATTTTTTATTTTATTTTTTCAATTTGTTTTTCACAAAACATCGTTATGGTTTCTCGTTTTACCTCCCCCACCCTCCCTATCTCCTATTTCTTGTAAAGGACGGCATTTCAAGAAATGCTGAAGAACACTCAGTTTGCTTTTCTTAGTTTCTCGACGTTTCTGGACCACCAGTTGACCCATACACCTGGGCCTTGTGCTACTAACAACTACACCCCCCCCCCCTCCCCGTCCACTTCAGATGTTGACCTTTCTGTATCTTCCTCAGAAATCAACAGAGTCCGACTTTCATTGTTTCACCATCAAGGCAAACGCGATGTCCTGGACTTACCCGATGCCGTCGGTCCAGTCGTCCAGCTGCAGGAAAAATTGTTTGTGCCAGTTAAGGAATATCCAGACGTAAGTACACCACACTTAAATGTAGTATCCTACATTTTAATACACCAGACTACATTAGTAGTAAAACTGAATGCGACTATAAAGATACAGCATACTTTATTAATACAGGCACCAAATACTTCATAGCTCTACACATTATTTTAGTAGTGTTTTACAAGAACTACTAATATAATATACACTAACCACTAAAACACTGCTGCAATATTTACATTATAAAGAAACAATACTTGATAGTGAAAATACAAATTAAATACACCTGTTCATGCACTAGCTAAACTTGCGCTGAACAAGTGGAATAAACAAGACACAAAAAACCCACCCTGTATAAATGCAACGCCTACACAAAGTAGAAATGAGAGTAATAACTCACCACTCAGATAATACACGTATCTACAAAGCTTTTATTTAGTTCCCTAAACACTCGATAATATCGTTTAGTTACATAACCGTGGGCAACGATTTTTCACCTTTCCCCACCATTTCCCCCCTCCGTTTCCTCTTAAGTTCCATCTTACCCATTATTATTTTAACGAAGTCGATGTATCTTACCTGCCCGGCGTCTATAAATAGCGACCAAGTAAATAAGGCTCACATAATTCCTTAAATAAACAGGCGCATCATCGGGAGGCACGATTTCACAGTTTCATAAGAATATAGGTTTTATTACAACGGAGAAACAGTTATTGGAAGGGGGGAATGGGTGCGGAGATTAGTAGTGTACTGTGGCCTGTTAAATGGGGGTTGATATGGAAGACATTGGTTAAATATCATGGTTGATATACATGCTATTGCATAACTGGGGTGATTGGTAAGGAGTTTACTGAACAGGCTTGCTTTGTATAGAGTTGCAGTGTAGATTATGGGTATTAAAGTTGTGTGTACGCTGGTCTACAATTCGTGGTGGTAAGCTAACATTGGCTCAGGCATTTACAGACGAAATAAGCACACACATTTAAGTACATTTTGTGTCATTTAGGGAACCCAGCTGCGTTAGTTGTGAGTTAAAATATAGTTAGGGTAAAATCAGTGTTTCTTCCAGACTTTTTTCTCCGGGGGGGACGGGGGACGGGACACTGTGAAAACTATATTTTCTATATAAATTCCATATTCCGTTTTCTACCGGGGGGGGGGGGACTTTAGCCCCCCCCCCCCCCCAAAGCAACTCGGTACAATTAAAACTGTAGTGCAAGTACATTGAACATCTTAGATAATGACACGTAATGTTTTATACACACTGATGAACATATCTCCCTGGAAACGTTTTCAGTTTTTGCTTTCGTAGTGGTTAAGTTATTGTAATAGCTAAACACTCGAGGCTTCCTCGCAGTTTTAAACAACTTTTAAAAATAAGGCATCGCTTCCTCCCACACGAGTCATTAAGCAGATAGTTATCTAAGACCCACTCTACACACGTGTTCACCTCTTTAGCCTGCGTACACGGGCACACATGGAATTAATTTCCCCAGTGAGTTTTGGAGATGTTCACCACGTCATAATGGGGTAATGCCAAGAGGCTTGCAATGTACATCGCTCTTAGAACGAGACGTCTAGCGAGGGTTGTTTCTTTCTATTTTTGCACAGCTCTCCGACGTCGTGTATTTTTTTCTTCTTGCTGTTTATCAGATGTGTCAAGTGAAATTAAGAAAACATAACAAAGTATGTCGAGAATCCAAGTCTCGGTGTATGCTGGGGTTGTCAAGCCAGGCTTACCGTTAGTTGCTGGTCGATAAATAACGGCTTGGGTTATTGCATACTAAAAACTTGCGTGTCGCACTCTACTTTATCAGGGTAACTAACATTAACATCGACGGTTAAAATAGTACTCCTGCACAGAAATTATGTCTCGCTCATACTCATAGAATTGTTGTTCATAATTATATTTTGTTTCTTTCTATATTGCTTACAAAACGAATTAGCCCCTAGCAATTATACCTTACATCATTAGAGTAATGACTGGCAGATGTTAGAAGTACTATTAATTATGTTGCCGACCACAAATTGACCACAGGGGTGTGTATTAATGCCAATAACTTCGACCTCGGTCCCCACACGATGTGTTGACCAAGCGGACGAACACGTCTTAATTAAGCATCTTTCATGAGTATCATTCAGGCTTTCAGCACGTGCCACAGCTTGACATTAATTTATTCCAATCGTTTTTGGTAAAAGCTACATTACGTAGCAATTAAAGCAGTTTCACGAAAGCATCTTTTAATTATTTTTTCTTTAAATTTTTAAAAATTCAAACTGGATTTTTAAATTGTTTTAATTGTTTCAACGTCGTTTAATCTAATTTCAGCTAATGTGTTTCAAAGTTCTAACCAATTTTAACAATTTTAATCCAGTTTTTCCCATTTTTTTTGGTAGCGGTTTAAAATTTTAATTGTTAGCTTTTCCCCACTTCCGGTTAATGCCTCGTGTTTCTACAGCTTTCTATTTCTGGCGCCCTAATTCCAGCAGCGCTGTTGCCTTGACATGTTAAAATCTTCATCGCCTGTTTTTTTTTCCTACCAAGTCTTTTGCATGTCCATTTTATGAGCCAAGTTTCAGACGGACATGGCCATAAAACCACGTAGCTGCCTAAGTCTCATGTCATGATGGTGCAGTTGTGCAAGGTCTAACATCTTTATAACAACGCATCATGGGAGACCCTGACTCACGCAAGTGGACAGATTTAGGCGGGTTTTAAAAAATGATTTACTTCAAACTTTTCCTGTTCGCTAGACAAAGACATTAATTGTACTCCACTGGCCATAACTCTAAATGTCCAACCTCTTTTTTTTTAAAGCGGTGTGCAATTTTCTTTTTTTGGTTCAGTTCTGTTGGGTTTACTTTTTTTAACGGGCGCGCTGGCTTGAAAGAATTACGTGGCGTGGAACAAATCGCCTAATTATTTAGCTTGTATTCAAAGGTAACTTCTAGCCGAGCTGAAATCTAAAGTATCAATTTGCATAAAGCAGGAAGGTGGGCGGGTATCTTTCAGCTTTGAACCCGTGCTTCCCCTCAACGTTTGTTTACCAAGAGCGTTTAATCTGCCTCTATCTGTTTAGGATTAGTCATACTTCGTGAGAACAACTGGCAAATGAGACTGCGCTCGTTTCCGATGTCTCCTTCATCAGCCCTCGCTAAGGCTCGTAGCGAGTCTACTTTTTAAATAAAAAACCCCATCTTACCCGACTCACATTAACCCTTTCTTCCCCGACTCCTGTCGCCCGTGTCTAAAACAACAAGCGCGGAGTGACTGTTAAGTTAGTGTTTTTTGACTGGGAGTGGCCTCAGGAAAATTCATGCGTATTTTTTTTTAGACCGACTTAACAGGAAAAGATAGATTTATGTGACGGGGCTTTGGGTTGAAAGTTCAATTTTTTCCCTTACTACCGTTAATTCTTGATGGATGGCTTTAGATTTTAATGCTGGAGGGAAGGTCGAATTATATATGTAGAGCAACGAACAACTTAAAAATCTATAATAAACACTTTCGTTGTTGTTATTGGCATCTAAGTCAAGCGTTTGTTATTCCAATAATTTCTTTGTTGTAGTTAGTTACCTTTTCCTACGCATTTTTATTTTTAGCATCATTTTAAAACTTAAACATGCAAATTATGTTTTCTTAAGAATGCTAACAAATAATTCGGCAACTCATGTCGTTGTTCAAGTCATTGCTTAAATTAAATTTAAATATAAATTGTCATTGACGTTTCTAGTTATTTTGGTTTAATATTTTTAATTAAGTTGGCTTGCTTTGAAAGCTGATAAAACGGATATACCGCTTCTGCCTTGAAAAGGACTACGTATTCTTTTTTTTACTGACATGAGAGCTTTTTTCCCATCTACCAAAACATGTACCCAACCAACTAAAATCATCTTTTGGGAATCAGTTATTTATTTGTGTCTAGCACTTCTTGCGTTGCACAGAAACACGATTCCAAATCACATACTACAACTCTAGGCAGACTACTAACCACAAGCTCCATCAGAAGACTTTATGGGAAGCTAAGGAAAAAAACAACTGTAACAACTGTTAAAACTTGCACAACTGGTATATTAGCCCTCGCCTTCTTATCGTGCGTGTTCCAGCTCATTTCGTGTGATTTTCGTTTTTTTTCTTCGTTCTTTAAAGCTGCTCACCCCAAACCTCGTGATTTCAACTCCTCGACCCAAGCCTCGTGATTTCAACATACTGCCATCTCGTGATGCAGGCAGTGTAATTCGAGCCGTGTTGAAAAATATAAATATTTTAGCCCTCTTGGTAGACACAAACTTCACCCCCTACCCCTTCATAGCTAGTACTGAAAGTTATTTTACCGGTGTGGAGGGAAGGGAGGGGGGGGGGGGGTAGGAGGCGGGGAGGTGTGGTGGACTGTGCCGTTTGTGCTTAACCGCTTGCACGTGCTGAGACTGTGAATGAACCATTACGGACAATTTTAGACATCAGATAGTTTTATTGGCACCGAGGTAAGCGAACTGTGGGTTCTTTGTTTACCCACGCCGAGTAGCGAGGGGGGGGGGGAGCCGCTGTTGCCACTGCTGGAGTAACAATCTTAAGTGCCTAACTTCGTTAGTTACCCTGTTTAGCAAACACTGATTTAGGGACGAGATTATACAAACTTAATATCAGCTTTATCAGATGGAGCCTTGTATTGAAAAGATGTTGGTAGTTTCTTCATGTGAGCATTGGCATTCTCGATACAATAACCGAATTAGACTCAATCGTGAATATTATTTTAAAGTAAATATGTTTTTACACAAGTAAAATTAATACCGACGAAACAAACAAAAATGCTCTAAGAGATGAACAAGTAATTAAAGATTTACACAAGCTGGCTTGAACAACACAAACCTGACCATACACGTCTGTGTAAAACATGAAGGGATTAAATCCACGACCATAAATACACGAGATATTAAAATTAACTCGTCCGTGAAGGACAAGACAAGGACAGTCACGTGGCACCTGTAATTTAAATTATAAATATATTTTTTTAAATCCATCACACGTGATACTTTTTTTGGAAATTATTTTTTTATTCATTTAAATGTTACCCCCCAAAGTGTCTTGTTCTTAACACCTTATTAATGCACTTATTTGATACTGCTTCCCCCCCCCCCCCTCCCCCTTACATGTCTTTTGTGTTCTTTTAAAACAGTGGTTCCCAACCTTTTTCGATTGGCGACCCCCTTTTATAAAAATTAAGTGACCCGCGACCCCCATTGAATTAAAAAGCCGAAATTAGTATGGTAATTAATAAGCACTAAAATAACATTTTCTAGTAGACTTTCAATATGAACTACTCTTGATAACTGTTTTAATAACATGAGTAAAATTGCATACTATTCACTAAACATTCGTGATTAATTTTTTTTTGTTAACCCCAACCTATGTCATTATCATTATCTTAATTTTATTTTTAATCGAAAAATAGTGTTGAAAATCTATTCTCGAAAAGTCAATCAATTTTACGTTTGGGTATGACTGGTGAATACTACACCAAAATTGAGTGTGCAGTTTTTTTTATCTTTCTCGGAATCATTCTACAAATCAAAGAATTCATCTTGTAATTCATCGGGAATGCTGGCAACATCGGGGGAAGAAGAGAATGGGTAATGCGTAAATGCAGATTCTTTTTTTTTCAGCTCAGAGAAATAGCGCTGCAATTCGTTTACACTTGATTCAAGATGCCCAGAAATTTCTTCTTTCAAAATTTTAATTATCTCACAATTAGATTCATCTACCACACTGCAGAGTTTCTCAAATTTACAATATTTCCAAGATTTATTTTCTTCGCCGATTTTGCAGCTTTGATAAAAATGCCCCGAGATTATCATGGAGAGTGATAATATTCGTTCATTTTCCCTGAAGCTTCAGGTTATGCTTATGTTGATGCTGCTAGGTATGATACTCTCCCCAACCACTCTATGTCGTTTTAAGCATACCAAAAGGTCTTGTTTCCTTTGCATTTCCAAGAACAATTTGATTTCAGATTTCAATTCAAAAACATAATTTACAACAATTTGTTTGACAGCCAGCGCACTGTTGTGTAGAAGAGCAGAACCTCGGGATCTTTATTCAGGTCTTTGCTCAGTTCTTTGAAGGCTCCAGATTTTATATAATTTACTACTTATACTAGCAATGGAGTCTTGATGGCGATTGGTGAGGGCAGAGGTTAGGGAGTTAAATCTTTTTTTTTACTGCTTTCTGAAAGCTCGATTTTGACCTAAACGGAACATAGATGGTGCACCATCCGTACAAACCCTCACAGCCGTTTTAACCCATTTTAATTATCCAATTTAAAAAAAAAACGTATTTATTTTCTCCATGCTTTCTTCACAAAAGAGCATCTCTTCTTTGCTATCATCTAAATCAGGGGTCTCCAAACTTTTCAGTCCGAGGGCCGCATTAACTATCAAATTTCAGTTCGGGGGCCAGTTTGAGAGGATGAGAGGACCTCGCGGGCCGCATACGGCCCGCGGGCCGTAGTTTGGAGACCCCTGATCTAAATGAATATAGACAAAGACCAACAACTGCGAACACGAACTCCCGTCTGTTGATTTATCAACTTGAAAAGCAACTAATGGTGAAAGCTTAATTTCAATAAAACTGTGTTATTTAACATTTACAGACATGTAAGAATTAACTTCACCATCTTCAACATGCAGCGTTTGATGAGATTTTCTCTTATTGTGTTTATTTTTTTGCTTGGCATTTTCTGTCGCGACTTCATATGATGCTTGCACAAATGCTGTGTTTCCTTGGTGAAAACTTCCTGTTCTATCAAGTCTCTGACGTTTGCAACTAGCTTCATACTGACGAAAGAACTCCATATCTTTTTTGGTGTGTTTCGAATGACTCGTCTCAAATGACGTTTTAGTTTTGAAGATTTCATAAACTCGTGTCTGAGAAAAACTTTGTACAGTACGCTTTGCTTCTTCTCTATTCCCTTTCCAGTGATGTTAGTAAAGCCGAATTTCAAAAATTCTTCTAAATATTTATGTTTTGTATCAAATTACTAAGGGGTTTAGTATACCAGTTGGCGACCCCCCAGAAAGCCCTTCGCGACCCCCCTGGGGGTCGCGACCCCCAGGTTGGGAACCCGTGTTTTAAAAGTTAAAAATGCCCCGAAGGGTTCCTAACTTTGAAAATATTGTCAACACATTTAAAAAAATAAATAAATTATAAAGGCATTTTAATTCCACCGCTGAAAATCCCAATCGACATGTTATAAGTTGTTTGTAAAAATTTCAAGTTTTCTATTCAAAAGAATTTTTGTTTTGTTTTAAATTCCACGCGTCAATACACATTTCCATACCCACGTTTTCTGTGCTGGCAGTAAATAATTACTCCCCCCTCCCCTGAATTTTTTTTTCTTGGCTTTTACAGTTGGTTTACATTTGTGTAATTATTTTTTTTTCTCTTTCTCTTCCAGTTCAACTTTGTCGGTCGGATACTTGGTCCCAGGGGGATGACAGCCAAAGAGTTGGAACAGTTCACAGGGTGTAAAATCATGGTCAGAGGGAAGGGCTCAATGAGGGATAAAGCTAAGGTAAGAGTTTTTTGGTTTTATGTTAGTGCTGTAAAACTCGTTTTCTGTCCAGACCGTGTATAGTATTATTTATGACTTGTGAATGTCCGGTAATATCTGTGGCGAACGTCAATTTTTTGGTGTGAATGTCCGATCTTGTTTGTAGTGAATATATGGTCTTGTTAGAAGTGCATGTCCGGTCTTGATGTCCGGGAATTGTTGGTAGCCAATGCCCGCTCTGGACGGAGTGGTCTAGCGGTAGAGTGCTGGACTGCTAACCCGTAAGTCTCGAGTTCGAATCCGGGTTCAAGTCAGTAGACCGTCCCTGAGTCCACCCAACTCTGATGGGTACCTAACTCACGTTAGGGAAAGTAAAGGCGGCTGGGCATAGTGCTGACCACACTATCTCTTCATATGCCGAGGTCACAGAAACAAGTGAACTCTACTTCACTTGCCCCATAGACCGTCAGGTTTGAGAGGGAAACTTGTTAATGCCCGCTCTTGTTTGTAGTGTAGTAATGTTCATCCAGCCATCAGTATTCATTAGTCTCGGATGGTGTTTATAGTATAATGCCCAGTTAAGTGTGTTGGTTTTGGGTGTGTTTGAAACTTTCGGCTGTGTAGTGTAGCATAACCTGCGGAGTCTCGTCTGTTTGGTATACTCTACTGTCGAACAACATAAATAAGTCATAGCAACACGCCCATGACTAACTTCCGCGATGATTTACTCAACCCATTCCCTCCCTCATGATTTACTCTTGATTTATCCGCTTGACCTTTGATCTCGGCAAGCTGACCACTGCATTGGCTACTAGCTTTCTCTCGGCCATGCCGCGTCATTAAAGTTGTATGCGGTCCTGGCATAGGATAATAACCCTGTCACAAGACCCCCCCCCCCCCCTAGATCGCCAACATAGCAAGCGTAACCACTGCCAGCACTTTAAATGGCTTTTTGTGTATACTTCTCGCTTGTCCATACAATACAGCAATATATGCATCAATATATAAAATCAAATTAGCCATTTGTAATGTATTGTTTGATGTTATTATACAATTACCCTTGTGAGTCTACACGGTCTACAATTCGTTACGTGATGGACCCAATCATCTTCCTTTGCCCAGCAATCGTAAATCTAAATTTACAGCAGGCATACTAATTTATCAATCTAAATTAACTCCACACACCAATTAACCAAATTAGGGGAAAACATAAAAGCAAAAATTTGTAGTGCACATGGCGCACGAAGAAGGGGGAGGGCGCCGGTTTCCGGGTCTCAGGGCGGCGCACGTAGCCCAGCTCCCAGCTGCTTACAAACTAATCAATATGTATCGGGGGCTTTATATTTTGTCGGGGAGAGGAAAAAAAAAGACGGCTGCATACAATCCAATTGATTGGTGATAATTCTAATAAGCATCCATTTTTTTTTACTCGCCATTGTCCGAATAGGAAGGGGTATTAATCGTGACTACCTTCACAACTAACCCATATCCTGGTTTTCGCGTAAGTTTTATTTTAAAATGCATACTCCAAGTATTCCCATACCCCTTTTCAGTCCCTCCCCCTCACCCAACACCCACAATAGCACAGTTTATATACATCCGTCGTACACGATACAGCCCTTATGTATTTATAGCCAAAAACTTGTTAACACGTTGATCGACAATTTCAACCCCTGTAACGCCAGACTCGCCCAAGTGGCCTGATCAAGCGCAGACTCATTTGGATCAATTCTCCTCATGGCCGAATGGTAACGGTCCGTACGGCATAATGCAACATGGCGTCCATCGACCTATCTGTCCGGCAGTCCGGTGCCATTGTCTCGCCCCGGACCGTCGACAAAAAAAAAACCGGAATAATTTGTCCGCGCCGCCGGGGTCCTTAGTACACATGTCCGGACAATGGTTGCTTGTGTCAATATATGGCAACGATTCGCTGCGGGTATTCCCCACCCTTCACACCCCCCCCCCCCCCCCAATCTCTTATCGTGTTCAAGTTTCCAATTGCGTCTGAATGCCGGCCCATTAATTTCTTGATTTGTCGCTCTTTAATGGAACACACGAACTGATCCGTTGGGTCAGCTGTCCATTCTTATTTCCGGTCATCCCCGTATTAATAGTCCGTGTATTGTACGAGTGACTACTAATACATTACTGTTTTATGAACATTTATACTGGACCGATCGAACTATCTTACAACAGGCAACAATGTTTGTAGATGGTTTTCAAAGACAATACATTTCCATTGTTTACTATACAGTTTTTTTTATAGCTGCCTAGCACTCTAAGTAATTGCTGACTAATGGATTCTGTACTATTAAAAAAGAAATAAAAAACTGATTGTCTTCAAACAATCTTAACGAAGAATCCTTTTAGTCCGATAACTCCATTGTCATCAAAGACCATAGTGTTTACCCGATTATTGCTTTCTGTTAATTTGTCTTGTGTGGTCACGTACCATGACCATACGACCCTAAGTGTTGATCATGCGGCCTTACAAATCTTTTTTTTTTAATTTTAATTGTTGATTGAAGCAATTATCACAAGAGTAGAAAAATAAACATTCGTGATGTGCTGAGCAAATTCACTTTTTTTTTTAAAACTTAAATTTAAAATGTTTCTTGTGAGCGTTTTAAAAACAATAAAAAAGATGTCTTGCTTCCGTCTAGGAATAAAGGCGTCTTGCTCGGCAATTAAGAGAGATTACTTCTCGTCATATTTGAGCACTTCCTTATTCTAAGCAGCGTCGAACTCTTCCCCTAGAGATTCCCTAATATCACGACATTGAGCGATGGCGTTACTATTTTTTATCTAAACGTTACCCCCCCCCCCCCCCTTCTCTCACACACAGTTGCTTGTTGAACACTATCTTTAAAAAAGAAAATCGTTGGCCGTGCTATCCAATTTGGCAAGCCTGTGATGGGGGTCGTGTTGTGTTTAACCTGGCACTGCTAGCCCTGAGTTTTTTTTTAAAAATATCGGTTCTATTATAGATCCCACTAGTGCGAGACCATGCCAAGGATAAATACAAATATTATTCTTATGATGGTAAAAGGGGGCGTTAAATGTGTAATGCTCTCAAATCTATTTCAAAAGTGTGAGAAATCTGAACTTTGTACGTGTTTTCTCTGACCATCTGTGGGTAGTGCATACTTTTTCCATTCAATTTGTTTTGGGTGGGGTGGGGGTGGGGGATAGGTTTTAACATCGAACCATAATGCTGGTGAATCACGTCAGAAAAAAAATCGTCTACCTGCTCACTTGTTGATCTACAATTTAACTTTTTTTTTTTAATAACCACAATATGGAGAAATTACATTGGGGCAATTAGTTCGTAAAATTTTATCTCATTTAAAAAAATGTAATTGTTTTCGCCCTCGCGTAGCGTAGTATTTCACGAGTTGGCAGGGGCAGGTAAAAACTTCCTGTACTGTTTCCCAACAGGTGAACCCAGCTCGTGTCCTGGGGGCGATCTTCGCCACAGTGACACGCAGAACAACTTGACAGATGTAATCTCACCACGGCACACACGTAGCCCTCCTGATGTGCTCGTGATATCCGCTCTCTTAATTACCCCGACCCCCTCTCCCTTCAACAATTTTAACACACTAACAGGTACTCGATGATTAGCAAAACTTGTGATATTTGTAATTAGTATTGTTGTCCAAGATCTTTCAACCCAAAGATCAACCCAATACCTATTACTTTATGTTAAATTTAATTGAAGAATCATTATTGTGAAATATTATTCCAACATTTGTCATAAACTAAATTTCGACTCAAAACTACGCTTCAAGATCTAATCACTAATCTAAAATTGATGACTAAAATATTTTGTTTTAGATTATTCATATTATGCCCAACCGAATAAGGGTCTATGGTATGTCAGAAAAACACATGTCGATTTTCGCCTTCGTTTCTATCCCAATTTTCCCTCTCCCACATTAGTTTCTATCCCAATTTTACCTCGCCCACACCCTAAATAGCCGCTAGTTATGGTGATCCCCACGTTGATTAGCCCAGTGCCGTAATGGATCTGGGATCGCCACAGCCCGGCACTCTCTCGACTTGACCACAATGGGGCGCTTGATCTCCAGTAGGGGGGAGAATGTCAGTGCAAATTGCTCACGGGCAGTCCCATCGATCGGGTAAAAGCTCTTTCACTTTCAATAAAGCGCGGATGTTTGATCCAGGCACTACATGTTTTGGTGGCTGAGTGGGGGGGGGGGGGGGGGGGGGGGGGCAGGGGTCACTGCCATTAATTACCGCACGGACCCAGCGCTGACAAGATCGTCTGGGCCGTTGTCGTCAAACAAGGACATGCATAGAAATCGTTTTTTTTTTCTTCTCTCCCTTACGTCATGACGTGCTTTGTCATTGATTTCCATCGCATTCTGTTGGCTCATCTAAAGGAGAATCTTAGAGTAAGAGTTGTTTCCTGCATACTTGTGTGTTTGGTCACATGAGTATTTGGCTATTTAGATAGTCGTATAGATTTGTTTTGAAGTCACTCATCTAAAAAAGTATCTGAGAGTAACAGTTGTTTCCACTATACTTGTGTTTGGTCACACGAGTAATTTGGCTGTTTAGATTCACATTTGTTTTGATCATTATTGTACTTGGGATTTGTTTTTGTTTGTGCATGAACTCTCAATCAGATCGTAGTTACTTAATATTTCCTTTAACTTTTAGTAATTTCAACACAGCACATCTTTACTTTAATCAATGCAATTTTTTTTTTAATTTCATTTCAAGGAAATATCTTTAGGCCCTATTTGTAGGTCACTATTGTTTTATAACCATCCGTATCAATTAAATATCATTAACAAATTTTTTTTTTTTGTAAAAACGTATCCATGTTTATGTTTTTTTGTTGTCATGAGTGGAATATTGGGTATTTCTGTTATTAAATCGAGTCTTGTGCTGTAGCAACTATGATATATTTAACTGTTTTTGTCATGAGTGGAATATTGGTATTTTTATTATTAAAGCGAATCTTGTGGTATGAAATTTTATATTTAACTGTTTTTGCCTTGAGTAGAAGATTAGTATTTCTATCATTAAAGAGTCTTGTATTGTGTCAACTATGACATGATAATATTTAACTGGTTTTTGTCATGAGTGAAAGATTGTTTCTATAATTAAAGCGAGTCTTGTGTTATGAAATTTTATATTTAACTGTTGTTGCCTTGAATGGAATATTGGTATTTCTATAATTAAATCGAGTCTTGTGTTGTAGCAAAAGATATATTTAACTGTTTTTGCCTTCCCACCAGGAGGACCAAAACAGGGGTAAAGCCAACTGGGAACATTTAAACGAGGAACTCCATGTCCTCATCACAGTGGAGGACACACGAAACAGAGGGGAGATTAAATTACAGAAAGCTAAAGAGGAGGTCAAGAAATTATTAGTCCCTGCAGTGAGTATATTTTCTACTCTATTTACGGGATATGGGGAGGGGGTGGGCACTTTTGGGTTTAGGCTTAAAATTACTAGATCTACTTGGGGGTTAGAAGGTAGTGAGATGCAATATGCTTCATGAGGTTTAGCTTAGGCTTTGATTTAGTTGTTTTTTTACTTTATGATTATATGGATAGCTGATTTTGCTATCATTGGGACATGTACATTTTTAGTACTGTTATTGACATGGTCAGCAGTATAAAAAAATGTCCCCATCTGTTCCCTACCATGCCAGCGCTGTGGCTGGGTGCCGGGTGATGTATCACCCCCGTCTAGTAAAACAGAAGTTACACTTTTTTGCCCCTGCTATTTACTGCCTGGTATTTCTTTGTGGAGCCCCCCTCCAACAGACGGTTCACTCATCTGCGCCTGATGTTGTGGGGTGGGGGTGTGTGAAGGGGTGGGGGAGGGGCTAGAGGTGATCTCAGCGTTCACGGTGTAGCTTCAGCTTTCTGTGTTTCATGTTTGGCAACTGTTGGCAGTTAATGAGGGATGCCAACTCATCGCAGCTTATTTCTTTTGCGACTTGCTTGAGAAAAATAAAAAAGTAAAAAAAAAACATACAGGAAGGTTTTCTTTAGTTTATTGTAAAACCACAAGTAACTTAAAAACTTAACCAAGTTTTATTTTCTCTACATGTACGTATCTGCATTGCATGTGTTCATTTAAAAATATTTACGATTACGCAAGGTGAGATGTCTAATTTTATCTATAGAAACGCTGGGGTAATCTCTAATCATGATTGATGTATTTCGGTCATATCTTGGCCAGGATAAAAAAAATCTGGCCATCGAGAAACACAATCGGTGGAGGCGTCCGTATTCCAGGCGTCGTCACGCCGGCAACCCCGGAGCGGGGAAATTTTAAGGTTCGCTCAAGCACTAAAATGAAAGGCCTCTAGGTGCCATTAATATAAAAAAAAGTCATGTTAGAACTGGTTGTCCATTAGGAGCTAGTTAATTCAGTTTGTTCGTCTAGAATTGACATCCGTTTTCAATTTGCTCACTTCACGTGTTTTTCTTGATTGGAAAATTGATTTATTTGAGCAATGTATTCTCATTTTGTTTGAATACAACTTTTTTTTTAAGAAGAGAAAAAAAAACTATCAATTTATCTCTGGAATGTATCATTCTTTGGCAAGCTACGCTTCAACGCCTTCACGTGTTCGTCGCTTTCGTTACGATTCTCAATCTTGTTCATATGCGCTCGCACGCACACGCCAGGATCGCGTGCATTCGCAGAGGAGCGTCTATAAAAACCTTTTCTTCATCAACCTTTAGATTCCTCTAACGTCTTTTTGCCATCCCTCCCCTTCTCGCAACTGATAGATATCCGTCTTATGTGATGATAGCAAGGCCGACAATTTAAAGATGCCGTTGCTGTAGAATGACCAGTGAATTTCGGCGTTGTCGAGTTGAAAAGTATACGAGAGGGAAAAGACTTGACCGTATTGTCTAACTGTTCGGTCTTTCTATATTGATGAAGAGAACAAAAGTCTCGGTTCACTTTCTCGCCATAGTCTCACCATTCGGTATTTCTACGTTGTTAAAAAGAAAGGTTCACTTTCTCGCTTTCTAGGTATTTGGAAGGTCTTGGCCGTAATGAGAATTTCAGACAGCAGGGGGAACAACTCAGACATGCTGGATATATCATCCTTTCCTTGACGGTACACCCCCTGCGTCGTTCCTCTAATTTTTCGTCATCTTTATGGCACTCTCGCGTCTTTCTTTGTTGCCCTCGCTCGTCACGTTTCTTTTTTTTTCTTGTTTTTCTCTCCCTTGATTTTTATCTGCTTCATCAATGTACTTTCCAGACAGCTTTTAGATTACTCCCCCTTGTAAGTAGGGGATTGAACTCTCTAGGTGTTGGATAACTCCATTTAGATGGTTGATACCATGACTTGCGTGCCTTGTTTTTTTTTGTTTTAAATCCCTCCAAGTAATGTGTAGGCACACATTCCTACCCCCCACCCACCCACCCAACCGAGTTAGTAGTTGACCCCTTTCGTGTGTAACTTGAACCTTAGCCCTTAAGAATGTAGGTCTTACGTTACATGTCGCACAGTTAAACTGACAACACACGGTAACTTAAAACAAATGGTCAAATTACCTAAGAAAATCCGCACATGGTCGGTAGTTCTCTTATAAAACCAACTCGACAAAATCTACATAAAAATGGGTGAAATAAAAGAACTTTAAGAGTATTTGGCCTTGTCCTCACAAGCAGGGAGGGTTGAGGGTGTCTAGTAGTTCACCAAAACCTCTGCTGGTGGAAGAGATTCGTTGTCAAACACTTGAAAATACCACCCACTGGGGGATTGGATTTAAACTTCATTATTTTGACTTAAAAATAACGCTTTAAACTCTCATCCATATATCATTTTCTGCAGCCCTCCAATAAATGTCTTGTTACATATATTACAATACTTGGGTTTATATTTAATGATGAAAAATTTCGTGTGGTAATTGTGAGATAGGTAGAGTGGGATATGGGAAGGTTATGGGGTTCGAACATGTGGTATTTATCCACATGTGGAAGTCATATCAGCTACTGTGTTTGCTCGTCCATAGCGTTTAATAAAGATTGAATTCTTCTGCTGTCAGTGGTGCGAAGAGAAGACGGCGCCAGGTAAAGTAGCGCTTACCTTATTATGTCTAGTGCCTATTGCCGCGGGTAACAAGCTGTGCTTATCTTTACCTAGGGTGGGCATTGCTTGATAAAACGGGCTCGGTGAATCTGCAGCTGACTTCTAGACGTAAAACTGGTTCACTTGTGTTGTTTAACTCCATGTAGTGTTGTAGTTCCGATTCTAACAGCAAGGCCTAATTACAACTACATCTTTTTACATAATTCGAGAATAGAACTCAACCGAAAGTTTGTTTCTAGAACAAAAGTCTCAAATGTTCTACTCATCTTTTGGTTTCCAAAGTGTTAAAGTTCCGATTCTAACAGCAAGGCCTAATTACAACATCTTTTTACAAGAACTGAACCGCAAGTTTGTTTCTAGAACAAAAGTCTCAAATGTTCTACTCATCTTTTGGTTCAAAGTCCATCTGCGAGTGTTGAATGTCCAGCGGTGTAAATGTCCATCTCACAGGCAAGGGTCATTATTGCTTCATTAGCCCCCAGCCCTTTCTCCCGTCTGTAAATAAAGAACATCGGGGGATTCATTCAAAATCCCATTGCATTTGTTTGAGCATAGAATTTCATTGAGGAGAGGAGATCACTTAAATGGAAATTTATGTCCCTTCGCTTGCTCTTCTCTCCCCTTTTTTTTTAAAAAAGCTCAAGTAGCCTTCCTTGCTAAAGTAGGGAACTTTTTTTTTTTAAGATATCTTCAAAAGTTGGCCGGCCCTATGCACTTTTGTATAAATTGTTCGGGATAAACATTCGTTTTAGTTTTACTACTCGTTTTGAAATCTTTTTCTCTAGTCTATAATCACGGATTTTTTTTTCGTATTAAACTTTTTATTTGAGTCACACGGTAAAAATCGTCCGCTTAAATACGTCAGTCTGTAATTCTCTTTCGTATCAGCCTTAGTAGTATTCATGAGTTAATCCCAGTGGTCAGCGTTATCTGCAGGTGACCATATCCTACTGATAGCCTAGTGACGCCAGGCCACATCACCGTCAAGATTTAACCATCGGTCAAGTAAGATAACGGCCCGTACCGGACAATCTAAGGCTTCTGTGTGACCGCAGTGTTAGAGCAGATAGTAGGGTTACCCCTCGTAATGTTACATCGTGTGCCAGTATGGTTACCCCTCGTAATATTACATCGTGTGCCAGTATAGTCACCCCTCGTAATATTACATCGTATGCCACGGGGTTTCGTTTAGGTAAACTTTTGAACCCTCCCCGCGGAAAACAAAGAATTCTTCAGCACCCACACCGGCGTTTAATTAATGTTGTAACTACGTTGGCATAGGGAAACCCCAATCTTTGCACGGGTAATAAATGTCCCGACTTCTGGGTTTACAAAAAAAACAAAAACCGAGGGGGAGGTAATCTCGGTCTGCGCCGTTGACATCAGCAGGCTTATTTCCCTTGTCTTATCACCAGCCTCCACTGTTTATCTCCCTTATCGTGCCTATTCGGCTACTGTTGAGAAGTTTAGCACTGCCATTTTTGCATAAACTGAGTACTGGGGAATACAAACATTCTAAGAGCTCACTCACAGTCGGGACACCACAGCCGTGTAGCAGTAGTCGTTGTTACACAGCCGTGTGGTGGTAGCCGTTGTTGTACAGCCGTGTTGCGGTAGCCGTGACTACTATTCAGCCGTGTTCATATCGTGGTGACACGCGTGTAGTTTCGCAATACGACAATAGCCATTGTTTTTTTTTTTTTTTTTTTTTTTTTAGCTGTGACGATAGCGCTTAACAAGCTTGAATGTTTACCTTATTCCTCCGATATCTCATGATATCAGCAAGCGGTGGACACTTCTCACACACTCATAGACATTCTCATACATCGGTCAAGGTCGGCATTTAACACCCCCTTCTCCTTTTTTTTCACCGTATCGCAATTTTAAGTTGTAAAGTGAAACATTTTCCCCCCGACCCACGTGACCTGCTCGCTCTTCTGTACTCACTCGTCTGTTGTCACACGTGTCAGTTAACGGGTAAAAGCTACAATAAAATGGCCAGCTTAAATTCCCCTCCCCGGTAACATTGTCTACCCCCTTTTTTTTAGTCCAGTCGTATGGTAATAGGATATTTTATTTCGAGTTTCTCTCCACACAAAAAATGGGTAACTCAATACATTGAATGCTAGTCTTATTTTTTTTTTAAATAACCCTCGCTGTTAGTCTCGGCATTTGTAGGCCAGCTAAACTAAGCGCCTTCGTTACGTCCCCTTATCCTTCTGTGTGTTTTGTATTTTGACAAGACCCGAGTATGTTCCGGGGAGACATGTAACAAGCTGCCTTGTGTTGGCACCGGTTTCCTCCCCCTACTTTTTCCCCTATCTACCATCACCGCCCCTCCACTCCTCGCGCCAGTAACAGAATCTCCATTATCCGTCAAATTTCTACATTTCCTTCTTTCGCACTGACATTTTTACGTTTAGCAATAATGGCCTGTACAATACGTGTTGTTGGATGGCCAGTGGTTCGCTGTTTTGACTGGCATTAGACCAACTCCTGTTAGTAGTAATGATGGCCTAACTATTGTGAATTATTTAGAAGCCTAGTCTTATTTGAATGGTCTAGCATTGCTTTATTTATTTAGACCGGAGAAAGCTGGTAAAAATAAAGAATATCAGATCAAATGTAGCTGAATTAAAACGTAATGGTCAGGCAGAAAGGGAGAGAGATATCAAACTCTGTTTAGTAACCAGCATTTTTACAATCTCTATCTTAAGAGAAAAGGCTTGTAATGTGCAAACTTAAAACATTGTCTTATTGTTTTTGGATCTAGTGAAAGAAAAGCAAATAGCCACTGAGGATTATTTAGTTGAAAATCCATATGTTCAACATTTATTTAATGTTTGGATAATACAAACATACTATGTGCAAGTCTAAGAGCAGTGTTATTGGTCAGTTGAGCCAGCAGGAGCAACTGGACACCTAACTGAAACATCTGCTTGTTGTAAGGGAAGCACTGTTTCCTGTAGCCAACATGGACTCACCCAGGGCGTACCAGCACACACACACACACTCATCTGCTTCACAGTTGATGGGACCTGACAGTTGTCAGAAACACTGTATCAGCCCATCTCTCCATTTTTCTTTTTTTTTTTGTTTTCTCTTGTTTCCCCCCCCCCCCCCCCCCCCCCCCCCGGAATCCCAACTCAAAGGGAAAGCAGTAAAACAGGACTTGCTACTTTCATACATAATTACCTCCCTTGAAGTTGTACTCCAGTAAATATTTTCTGTATTTATGGAACACAATAAAAAGGTGCACAGGATTCTTGTGCTGTAATAATTCATACAAGCCTTTAGAATTTTTCTAACTCCCGCTTGCATGCAGACACTTACGCCACATTTATCACAAGATAGAGTTATGACATCTAGGCAGCATTGAAGCATTTAAAACAGGTGAACATTACTTCACCTTCTTATCCCCATTCAGTTTTTTTTTTTACCTCTTAGGCTATAGTTAGATCCTTCAAAAGGTGCAGAAATTATGCATTTCCTCCTAGGTCTGTCTGTAATCTTGAGCAGGTTTCCTATCTGTATGGGGTGTGAGTACTGTGAGGTACCAGGTTCAAACCTCTACAGCAGGGATGGCTATGCTCTAACTGCCAATTTTATTTCAGCCTGATGGTGAAGATGACCTGAAGAAGAGACAACTAATGGAATTAGCAATCATGAACGGCACATACAGAGATGCTAAATTGTTCCACCCTGCTCAGTTTGCACGTAAGTCCCGAAGAGGGTGACCTCCGCGCTGCCCCGGGCGGCCGAGTCACCAGGTTTTAACCAGTTTGTTTAAGTTCACTAACCCGTAATCCTTCGCTTTTTCCCCCCTATAGCCTGATGGCGAGGATGACCTAAAGAAACGCCAACTCATGGAGTTAGCTATAATTAATGGGACATACCGCGATACAACGAAGCCTTCACCCTCACCGTCCCAGAACTCAGTGCCTGGTCGTAAGTGTGCTCGGAGTTTGCCCTACCCGTCTTCCAGCAATCGCGCTCTAGCCCACCTATTATCTACTCGTGCTAATCGGTTTCAGTTCTCTCTCCTGTGTCTTAGCAGTGTGCGGTGCCTGGCTTGTTTTATTGATGAGATGTGGTCTTACCTTATTTGCTGCTCATTTATTTCTGTCTCAATACACTGGGTTGCATTGGTTATTATATTGTAGTGGTGAATGGACAGCGGAGATATTATCATATTGTTTCGATATTAATCCACTGGGCTAACACAAGATTTGTTTTCAAATAAAATTCAAGTTTATATTAATAAAAAAAAAGCTATCAGTGAAGTAATTTCTTAAAGCTGTCCAATCAGATCACTAAATCCTATGTATAGATATATGTACCTGTTTAGAAAATAGTTTTTTTCATTCATAGTTCATTGCATGTGAAATAATTTATCTTAATTCTAGCACAGGTTTGACAAGAGAACTCATGAGGCTCATTAAGTTCTTTAACAAATACCGGTTACGGCCACCCTTTCTAAACAAATATTTGAAGCGAATAATTTTTTGGGCCTACATTTTTATTTTTAGCCAAAGGTTTCCTTTCACCCCTATGTATATTCTGCTTAAATATTATTGCTTTTGAGGTTAAGGCTTTTGTTTTCCCCCATTTTTAAAACCAACTCATGTAGAAGACCATCAGAGAATGTTGTTATAGAACAAGATTCCACATAAAACCATTTACTAAGCTTGTCAACCAGGGTTATCCATGTCATTTACATGTACTTTCAACAGCTTTGCATGGTTGGTTTAGTTAGAATTTTTTTTGCATGACTATTAATCATTTTTATGACTCTATACTATTTAGGTAGTGAAATTAGCCATGCTTTATTTTTCCCTCATTGAATAAATGTAACAAGTTTGTGCACTCCTTATATTTACAAAATAGTTATTCAACTACACTGTTATTGCTTAACTGTTGTTCTTTTGGAGACTTGTTTAGTTTTTAATACATTCCTCACATTCTAGTTACGCATTCACATGTACTATTACACAGTTTAAAGCTTAATGCTCAGCAAATGCTAATTGTTAATCTTTTTCGAGTGGGATATTTAAAGTGATTATTTTCACTACATTATTTACTTTAATTTTGTATACAAGTCAATTATTTTTACACTAGCATTTCTACAATTCAACATGTAAAATCCTAGGCCTTGTGACATGCTATCACCCACATATTTCTGATTATACCATGTTTCTTTCTATATTTTCAGGCTTTGTCCACCATAATGAAAGCTTATGGAGCAACCCTTTTGGTCAGTGATAATGAAAGATTTTTAACGGGCTCAAGTGATCTTAAGTAATTAAGTAGTGGTCATTGTCCAGGAAACAGAATGGGCGATGGCCATGAAAAGTTTGCTTTGGATCAGTTGTGTTCTTTTGATTGTGCTAACCCATGTGGCATAGAGAAGCATTAATACCATTATGTATTGACCATTCTCATTATGGTGGACATAGCACTTTATTATTGTCCAGTTGTTTTTTTTTTAGATTCTAAAGATGTATCTTACCCTTAAGATAACCTTTACAAATGTATGACTCATAACTTACACACATTTATTTCTTGTTTCAGTGTTTAATTTTTAATATCAATTGAATTTTATTCACATTTTTTGCACTTGTTTACTTACAATTGTTTTCTGTCCAAAACTTTGAGCATCAATTAACTTTAACGAATTTTTTAAAATTTACAATAAAATTAACATGAAAAACAAACACTGAAGCCCAATTAAAGCTGCTTCTAGAATTTTCACGGAAATTTTCAGTAAAATTAGTTACAAAGTTGAGAAAAGAAAGAAACCGAAAAACCCCATCAATTTTTGTACAGAAACAGTTTGGCTAGATTTTTAGTGCTATTTATGTGTATTGACTGATTTACCCTGTATATCCCTAACCAAAGTGTGCTTTGCTCTTACCCCCACAGAAGCCCACCTACAGCTGGGCGGGATGCCCATGTTCCTTCCCCCAGGCCACCCGGGCCAACCGGGAATTCGCGCCCCAGGCCAGATGCCTCATTTGGTCCCGGTTAGCGGGGCAAGCTCCCTCTCAGATGGTTTGTCCTTGTTGCGTTCCTTTTCTGTAGATTATTCGGGTACACAGATATTTAATTTATTCATTTATTCCTAACAACTTTCACCTCAGAATTATATAGTGGAATATCATTTCATTTTTAAAGTTCTCAAATAAAAATGAGTGAAAGATTAAAAAAAAATTTACTGGAAAAAGAAGTAAACAAATTACCACATTATCCCATTTCTAAATGTAATAATTTAAGATATTCCAAGTTCCCTATTCTAAATTTACCACCATATAATGAAGAGGTTCTGGACTAAATTTTTAGGTAACATGCAAGTATGCATAGCATTAAGGCAATATTTTAAAAAAAATATTGTCATTGAGATGTAGTGAGGTCAGTTATATAATTGTAAAAAGAAAGCCACAATTACTTGTATTTTATTTATTATATGGGCAACAATTTATATGGGCAAAATAAGAGCTGTGCATTTTGAATTTAACTCTATAATTGACCTCAATGCAACTCATGCATTTAACCCTACTAAAAAAGACTAACTGATTTGTATAAGGTATGTGTGTATAGTTAAGTATTTTAAACAGTTAATGTTTGAAATGCAGAGATTTTGGTCGTGTGGTATTCTTGCCATAATTGTAATGTGTTTTGTGCCTGGAGCCTCCAAGAAATTTGAAAATTCCCCCTTGTAAGCTATTTAACTAATGGCACTTGGCATATTCAAATCTTATATGATAAATTTCCAAAAATAATATAATTCAAAATTTGGCAGCTTCTGTTGTAAAATACCTGTGTTGCTTTTGTTTGAGGAAAATAATCCAAGCTTCTTGATTTGTCACATTTTATGGAGTTGTAGATCTTGATTTTTGTGCATTACATTTCTTAAAGACTAACCAGAGATCATGTTTAAGTACTTTGGTCTGTGTTAGACCATAAACCTTTTCAACAAGTAATAGTGTAAGGACTAGCCTTATTTACAAAATTGAACATTTAAAAATGAATGTAGAGAAATCTGGCCACTACTACAAAATGACAGATCTACAGCTTCCCCATAGATTGACCAGCCTAGATCACCCATTTATAAGCATGTTTTAGTACTATTGCTTTATTATAGGCCATCTGTAGAAATACTAAATTTTTACTAGGTGCAACTTTTTTGCATGCATTTTATCCTCCCCCATTTAGTGATGCCTTCAATGTCTCATTTCTGCTATTGGCCTGTATGAGGGATAATTGTTCTAAAACAGTATAGTAATGTTAATTTGTATCTGTGATAATGTATTTCCTTCAATTAACCGACACAATGTCATCAAAGTATAATTTTTTTTCCTTACAGAACACGCCCGCTACCTTGCTCAGCCCCTCGCTATTCAAATGCGAACCCCCACACCAACTGGTGCCCCTATCATACTCGCACCTCGCCTTCCCCCACCACAAGTTGTTGCAACAAGCCAGCCCAGCATGAACGGAGCACCCCCACCATTGGTCTCACCCCCAGGGGATCACACTGGACTTATGTACAATCCTTACACCATGAGTGTTACCTCAGGCATGCATTCACCAATGGACCCATACGGCATCGGCGCGGGGACACCCTCCATTTTTGAATACCAGACTCACCTCGACCAGGCGCAAGCGGGTATGTTTGTTAGACGTGATTTTATCACAGGAATGTGACATGACTTCTTTGCTTAATTGTAGAATTACTTTGTTGAACTAGTTTGTATTTTTCATAGATATACCAAGAACTTGACGTTAGTTAACTTTCATCTTATAAACCATACGGTATTATAAGTTATTTAAGAAACCTCCATCAGATTTGTTGTTGAAAAGAAATCCATCAATCCAGTTTGTTTTATCATGAATGTTAGTCATGATATTGTTAACCATTGTGAACCTTTGCATTTAAATAAGTATAGTGATGCATTGACTGTTCAACCTGCTCAATGAATGACCCTTTAAACATTGTCTCCTGTTGGTTGCCATCCAGTATTTGTTTACTCTGGGAATGAGCACACTGTTGACAATCATATACATGTTTCATTTTTTTTTACCATGCAAACATTTGTGCCAATGTTGTGTTTGATCATTGTTTTGTTTGATTGCCAAGATTTTATTTAAGAAAATCAATTTGATTGTTAGTGTCAGTGGACCTTGTGGGTGCAAAAGATCCTGGTTTAGGAATTTGTGCATTATAAGAAAAAATAGTCAAGTGTTGTGTGTAGTTGTGATTTTTTATCTTTCATAGAGAAAGATTTCCCCTTGAATTTCCTGACTTTTTTGTTTTGCTGTTCATTAGAACCAGACTTGTACTCCTACTTAGAGTGCCAAAAGTTTTGTAGGCTAAATTTTGTTTTAGCTACACTTATTTTTACTGTAGAGATAACAATTTTTTTTGTTTAAACTCAACATTCCCATAAATCTCATTTTCATAAATTTCATTACCTTAGAAACAATGATTTTGTGTAAGAACTTTGGTGAAAAGAAATTAAGTACATTGTGAAACTTATGATATGCAGTCCACAAGTCAGACACCATCAAATCCACTTTGCCCATACATTGGAGTTTCCTTTGCCTGCATACGCTTAGAAGCCCAGACATTCCCAAAATTTTGATGCTATGCATGAATTAAGTTTTCATATTTTGAAACAAAAAAAAAACCTTAGTGATCTCACTGTTAAAATTATGTATTGGTAGAACGATATCGCCTCTGTAGTGCTGTTGAATATTTGTTCACGCTTTTTTTCTTGAATAGAGCATTATTTTGTGCTAAACTTTTTCTGTTGTTTAGATAGTTTTTGTGATATTTTTCTTTCATTGCTACTGTGCACTCTTTACTATGCACTTGTACTTGTAGCTAACTATATCCTACTTTTCTATGTTGTCATATTGAAAGATATTTATAGATTTTATAGATCCTTTATTTTCTCCTGTAAAAAACTTGCTCAATTATATATTTATAGATCTGCTCAATGGATATAAATATTCATGTTCAGATGCTGAAATCTTGCCACACATCTTAGAAATAATGTATATAAAATTCAACTTGTTTAAAGAAATTCATATGTGTCTTAAATACATTTTGCCATATATTTTATTATGGATTTAAAATACTTTTGGCATGACTGCATAATAAACTAATTAAATTAAACTCCGTAACATAACATAAAGTAACACTAGTACAAAGAGCCGAAGAGGGCGTAATTTGTATATACTATACATAATACTGCATGCTTTAACTGTAAATATACTGTATTTATTCTTCGTGTGACAGTTTAACTAGAATTGCATGATTAAATTAAGTTAGTGCATGAATTAATTTATCTGTGTTTTGAAAGTAGAATTTAGTTCATACTTCATTGAAATTATTTATTTAAATTTTAATCTTATAAGTACTGTAGAATTATATTCAACTGCCAAAAAAAAAAAAATTACAATACTCACTACTATACAATGGCTCTTTCACTGTTGCAGTTTAACATCTGAAAATGAAAACATTTGAACTTAAGTACAGAAATAAATATTTCAACTTGTCAATTTGTTAAAAAAGTAATTCTTTTTACTTTAAATGAGATTTAATTTTTAAAAAAATTAAAATTGTATTATATTTCACAGTATTTAAACAAATTGTATTCTAATATATTTAACCTATTTATTCATAAAAAAATCTATAACAAGCCTGATATATATTGTATGTTGTCCCATTTAAGCACCTGGTGTTTCCAGCTATTTGTTGTGCATGTCTCCTGGAGCTTCTAACAATTTTTATTATTTTTGGTTTCTTAACACTAGCCATCTACTTTGTTATATATTTCTTCTATAACAAAACTTTCTAATTAAGCAACTAATTAAAGTAATCAAATTTCTTCTCATGTCTACATTTTATCTATGTTAAATGTTTACATATTTTGTTTCATTAAAGTTTAAATTTTTAATATAATTTGACCTAGATATTGATGCATAAATTAAAAGGTGGATGCACTTCCTGTAAATTGTAGACATGAGAAGTACCCTGACATTTATATTAAATTAACATCTAACAAAACAACTAAAACAAAGAAAGTGCAAATATCTGGGCTGTGATCTATTTTGTTATTCCAAACAAGCTCCCTCTCGACCAGTAATTACCTTTACAATTATATTGGGACAGAGCGGCCAGTTTTTATTCAAGTGTAGTCATATTTATTTTGTTATTCTTCCCCCCCACTTATCTCTTTATTTACAAGCTTTTAGTAACTTTGGTTGTCCTGTTACTAGACAATGGGTCCACCAAGCCTCTATTTGTTGCCAGGGACCAGGGGATATGCCACCCATACTGTATATATCTGCTTTCATTACCCTCGTGCAGAATTTTATTGCTTTTATATTATGTTTACCAGTTGCTGCCTTGTTCTGTAGTTTTAAAGTATAGATTTACTTTCCTTGTTGTGTTTACATTATTATTGTGCTTCCATATGGAACTGAAACTATTGATTCATGTCATGTTTATGTATTTTTTCCCTGATAATTGCAGATAGAACATCCTTATTTTATACATGTTTCCATGTTGTTTTATTTCATAATTTCATGATTGTTTGAAGAAAAAAATTGTTAAAGAAAAATGGTGCTCGGTCGAAAGATGGTAACTTAATGAATTGAATTAACTTGATGAATGTACTCACCTGATTTGGATATTCATAGGTGCCGTCCCAAAGATGAGAAGGACATTAGAGGGAGTCAGGGCTCACCCCTATACTAGAGTTTCATTGTCTTAATGTGTGTTACAGGTTAGTTGAGGTTTTACCATGTCATGTCCACCTGCTTATCAAACCTTTGTTTTCACAGCCTGCTCTTCTCTCATGGTCCCTTGCGTATAAGGATGACCCAAAATTATGGATTTAAAAAAAAGCATTTTTTTTTAAATTTAAAAATTGTTTGAAAAGCTTTGAAATAATAAGCTGACAATTTTTTTTAAAAGAAAAAAAATGCCTTGTCCATTTGGTTAAACTGGTGTTTTCACTTTATGAAAACAGTTCATAGTTTGTTTACTTTGAATAATAGGTTTTTATATGAATGAGATCCAAAATATGAATTATTTGCTTATATTCAACATACAGCATTATTTACTTGATATTTCAACTTTATTATGAGAGTTATAAAAGTAAAGCCTTATAAGAGTCCATGCCTTTGTTTAAAAATGTGACAGTAGAGTGTGATTCTCTCCACATTTTGTTGTTTCGTCAAATTGATTGTCAAATCAAAAGAAAAAATACACACACAAAACTTGTGCAATTGTTGTCAATATTTTCTATATTTTTAAAAAATAAAACCAAATTTCAATTATTCTTAAGTGTCTTTCTTAAAATGTTATTATTACACAAAACAAATATATTAGGATATTTTAAAATGTATAGACTAACATTTCCTATATAAAAGCTGTTAAATCAATATAGTAACAAAAATTTAAACAGTTAAGAAAAAATTCCAATAAATAAAAAATACCTACCATATAACTTATGACTAAAAAATTTTTACACAAGAAAAAACTTTAATTAAGCAGTAAACCTGTTTCCCACATGAGTTAAGGTACACTTGAGCGATATAGTTTCCATTCTGTTCTATAGTCAAAATGGCTGAAATTTTTTTTTTACTACCCATTCTTTTTTTTAAACAACCTCTAGTTATCTAACCTTACCCTGCTTTGTTTTATTTAACATGGCTTTGTGTTAAAAGTAGACAGTAGTTAACCCCCCAACCCCACCCATCATGTAGGTTCAAGTTGGTGACCTGACAATTTTATTTTATGTAAAAAAAAAATTCTAGCTCTCCACAAAATTCATCTTCCTTTACGTCTGTCTTCTCATCTTGCATGGTACCACCTGCATGTTAAATTGGTTTATTTTCTGCAGTATTGATTTATTCATATTTATACAGTTTTTATAAAACCCATCATTTAAACCATAATTTGTGCTGAATTAATGCTTTAGATATCTTGTTCCATCACACCAATAACTTTAGATGTGTTAATTTTAAACTGTTATTTAACTCAGTTAGCCTAATCATTTATGCAAAACAATTATACAGTTAATTCTGCCATTTTGCTACTTTTAATTGCACTCAGTAATAATATTAATAAAATTTAATGCTTTTACTGAAACAATTGATTAATGAATGACTTCCCCCTTACCAACAAAACACTCCAACAAGCACCATGTAATATAATCCCATTTATAGATTTACTTAATAGCCACTTGTATAATATTACCTGTAATCACTAACTCCTTTTTTTTCCATTCCATTTTGTTTCATTAACCCAGCTGGCAACTAACCACCTCGTGCCTTTAAAGACGGCTCTGTCGGCCGGTCACTCTTTGTGGTGGGACAAACTGTTGGCCGGGCGCTAGGGTCCACTTCTGTGCTGCTGTTCTATTCCCACGGAGGTGTTGTTGTGTATCTCAAGACACTCGTTCAACAGCACCGCCAAGCTCTTGTAGCAGCCAATGAGATAAGCTCCATCAGCGTAAGGGAACCAAGTGCAACATTTGCTCTCATGTTACTTGTACAGCCTGCACCCGCCTTCACTTTGTCACCTAACTCTTTTTATCAACAGTTTTTGTTGATACATTTTATTTTGTATTAAACATGATTGATTTATGTTTGACTGTTCAACCCACCTATTTTTTTTTTTTGTTATTTTTACATGTATTATAATACCAGATTAACTTGTTCTATAACCTTTTAAAACGGTATCAAATTGAAATGCTCAGAACTGCTTCAGCTGAATTCTCATTGCCGTGGTGTAATTAAGTCTTTCTGTTTAAAGTAGTTTTGGTACTTCTTTAAATGGCTTGACTGTACCTGGGCAGTGTTGATTCAGCTGAGCAGAAACATTTAAGTGCCTGATGTATGTACTGCTGCTAACAACACAAGTCTAATGGTCGAGCTTTCACTGCCCTACAGCTTAATGGACATGAACATTTTAAACTCCTTTCTGGAATGAACTAAAAGTTAAAAAAAACAATGGAATGATCCACCCTTAGACCTGTGTTTTAACATTGATATTAAACTATTTTTATTCTCTGGTGAGGTCTAAACTATTTGAATGTACTTGTATTAATATCTTAACATATATTTGCAGTTGATATTACTTAGGGAGAGGGTGGGGCAAATATATTTTGATAAACATGCTTATATACTTGTATAAAAAATGATTGATATCTTAACATCTTGGATGTGGATTTTGGTTATTTTTTCTTATTTATATGATGGTAGATCAGTAACTTTTTTTTTCTAACCTAAGCTAGTAAAGCTCAGTAGTGAATTAATTTGAGACATGTTTTATATTTTACACCAACAGTATATTAATTTTGTGAAAAGTTTAATTTTTTTCCTCTAATGGTTGTGGTTTATCTGCCCTTTGTTTTTCATATCCCAGAGCAATTTCATACATGCCCTTGTGGATTTTATTTCTTAGCTCATTTTTTTCTTCTTTGGGAAAAGCTAAGCATTTTCTATATCTAGTTCTACAAGAATGCACACCCCAAGACCTAGTAATTATATAAGATTTTGATTTAAATTTTTTTATTGTTTAAAACAAGCATATCACCACTGTCCTCATATCAATCAAATGTGTTTTTTTGGAACTTATTTCTGTATTTGATGGCTAGTAGTATTATATCCTCTGTGCTCATGTCTGTGTAACACAAGTCTTTACATAACCCTGTTCTCTGGAGGTACTGCATTATTTTTGTCCTCCCTGTGTTGCACATTTTAATGTACATCTCCCTGCCATGGAGCAGTTGTAATATTTGTAAGCTGATCAAAATTTTTAGATGTTTTTACACATTTGGATTTTCATATTTAGTTTTTTTTTCCCTTATTTTTTTTTTAAATTTTAGGCTAGTAAGAAATCTTGAGATAAAATGAGCAGTGAAAAATTCTCTGTATCCTCTATAGCATATCATTTTTATATAACTTTATTTTATAAAATTTGTGTTTTATAACTTTAATTTAATTTTATTTAAATTTCAATTGGGAAAAAATTACAATATATAGAGTAGAATATATAAAAATGGCATGAGATCTTTTACTGTGAAAGCACAAAATGTAAATATGACTTGTAGAGCCAGACTTCATTTCCTTAGTATTTTTTTCTGTCAAGTTTTACTTAAATCAGTACTTAAAGACTTTTTCCAGCTCTCCGAATGAAACTTGTAAATAAATCTACATGCTAGTTAAAGTATAATCCATGAGTAGTCTAATATCAGGAGTGTAACATTGTGATCTGCGGTCATGAGTACTTAACTCTGTACAGTGTGTATTATGCTAAATAACTGTCTGTATAGTGAGCCAAGCAACAAATTTGTTTCATAAATCTTAGTTATCATTTTTTATTTTTTTTTTGTGTACATTTAAATTACTCCCTACCCCAGTGTGATCTCAGAAAAAAAAATTTTAAAGATTTTTTTTTTGAAAAGTTAAAATAGCATTTGTCAGATGGCCAATTTAATCCTATCTTTTGTTAATCCTAATTCTCATAGAGATTATTGTTTGTTAAACTAGCACAAGTAGAGCTTAGGGGTAATTGGTTGTTTTGATCCCATGCTGTTTTCCCAATGCAATCTACTTATATGCAAATTCAATCTGCTGCTTATGTGGGATAAAAACCCACATACACAATATACACAAATGCAAATTTTCTTGCATCAGCATTCAAATCAACAGCTCTTTTTTATGTCAGGTTTTAATAGGTTCATTCTAATTATCTACAAATATATTTATATGTATACATGATTTCATAGTGTTACTTAAAGGAAGTATTTTACTTTAAAGTATTTCAGCATTGTCAGTATGTGATAGGTTTTAAAGTGCCTTGATCTGTAGCATTTCTTATGTCATTGATCTACTTAATATATCATTCAACTCCGGCCAACCAGTGTGTTTACAAAGTTTCTATATTTTAAGAAGGCATGTTTTTTCTCTATGCCCTGTGTATCAGAGATATCACATGTTAGTTTAGTTTGTCTGGCTCAGTGCATAATGTCAAAATGTGTTCCTTTAAAAAAAAAATTTCATTATTTTTATTTTGATGGCAATTTACATAGAATCTCACAGTTCATCTTGTTTTTTTTTCTCTTGTGCGTGTTCTAATACTCATTTGTTTTAACCATATCCAACAACTGCTGTTGCTACACTGCTACTGTGTGTGATTTGTTTTTTTTTTTTTTTTCATTTTACTTAGTAAAATAACCTGTCCTTGCTGAGCAATGTAACCTAACTATATGAACTCACCTTTATTTAACCCAATAAACACAGATTTTCGTAGCCAATCGGTTTGCTCTATTTTCTTGCCTATAACATGCCTATTACTAAACTTCTAACCAGGTATCAGGTAATAAACTCACCTTGTTTTATATATAATAAAAAAAATATAAGAATTTTGTTTTTCACGAGACAATTTTATTTGGACTCAAATGAAATTGGATTATTAAAAAAACGCAAGGTGAGGTAGATATATTGAGCCTCAAGGAGGTTTGGTACTGCTGGTAGCTGTGTTGTTGCTTATTTAGGTTTGTACAACATTAAATACTCATCATAACATGACTTTCTCCCCACTAAAAAATTTGCTAATTATAATCAATGGCCAGATGGAGAATGGGTCGCTAAAACTAGGTGATTGGATCTGAATGATTGACTTATTTGAGGTGGTTTCTAAAATCTCTTGCATGATATTTTATTCAACTTGTATACCATAACTTATAATATACTAACCTCACACACACAGCTGAATGGCCTTACACTAGCAACATGCAGATATTTAACCACATTATTTACATTTATTAATTTTGCATAATTTCAGTTCGCCAAAAAATATTTACAATTGATTTACTCATTTGCCAAAATAATTGACTACTGATTTACTTATTTGCACAAGGAAACAAGCATAATTATACCTCACTCTTTATTTTTATTAAAAATTGTTTAATAATTCTAATTCATTTGCATTCTAAGCATTTTTATAATAAATATTTTACTTCCTGCTTTTGAGAGTAATTAAAACAATAGATGCTCCTAACCACTAACTTGCTTGACAAAATTTTAAAAAATGTGAATATAGTTCCTGACATAACTTGGGACAGGTAATTCATATCTAACCACATTTATCTGCTTAGTGATGCCCACCTAACAGTGCTCAAATAATCTTACAAACTTTATATTTTTATTTAAACAAATAACCACATGTGATAAATGTCCGCTTTGCCCTGTTCTTCGTCATTACACAAAAAAAAAATAGATATGAATTTATTGTACGTTTTTATTTTTTAAAATTAATACTTTTTAATATTCATTTTTTAATAAGAATTTATTGCCAATATTATGGTGCCTTTTTACGCATTGAGAAAGTTGTGAATTTTGTTCAATTGAATTGCCTTCATGCTGAGACCAGGCAGTTTGTGTTCTAGATATATTTATTTTTTATGTTGATCCGATATAGCCTGATCCAGCATGGTATTTTTCAGAGAAATAAAATACATAACATAGAATTTAACACTAATAATACATAGGCATTTTAATACTATTTACACAATTTAAATGCTAGTGTTGGTAATATTAACTGTTTAAATGCATTAGAATATACTCAAACAATCCTAACTCAATGTTAGATCACAATTATTTTTTTACACTAAAAAACTCGTCTTCCCTTTACATTTTTTACATTACTTCCCCTTACACTGAATTTCTTCCCTTCGTACTAAATTGCTCAAGTGTACAGATACCATGTAAACAGAACTTGTATGTGCTTATTGTGTGGTAAACTCCCTTTACATCCATGACAAGATGAGCTTAGTGGTCCCTTATAATATACATCATTGTTATATAGGTCCCTGTACAAGTATATTATATTTAAAGTGGTTTTAACTCAATTTTTTTGAAATTACTCAAAACTCAAAATGTGGTAATAACTTATATTTACATATTTACATTACATTTTTTTTTTTATAAAATAGATATATTTATATTTCATAGTAATTTATATACTTGTTTCTTTTGAAATGTTATGAAAAAATATTTTTATTTGCTATACCAATGAAATTCACAATACGTAAAACAGAATCAGAAAACAAGAAAATTTAATGTCTGTTATTAGTCTGGAAGATTATAGAAACAAATACTAGATAGGGTATGAATCAGTCGGATTGAAATCATGTATAGTGTATCTAACGTCAACACACATAGGAATCCGTGTTAAACATGCTTGTAAATAAAATATCTCAATTTTTAACAGAGTACTAAAATTACAAATTAAAACAGAATATTATGTGATTTAGACGAAGAAAGCATGTAGTTAATGCCTTATAGAAGGTAGGTGATCTGAATTTCTGAAGCTTGTCATTTACCATAAATGCAGACTACTATAGCTTCAGTTGTGCTGAAAGATGAGTATAGAAATAGAAAACAGCTTATGAAAGGGAGATAACTCAAAATTTAGAAGCTCGCAAAAGCTTCCGAAAGACTGAACTTTGGACTGCTCAAGAAAGAGGTAGACTCCCACGGTGATCTCATTTTTATATGACAGCTTGTGATGGCTCGTTGTCTGTTTAGTAGCTTCATTGTAATATATGCATTTTTATATCTATACAAGTCTAGACAGTTGGCCCTGGGCCGCCCGTCGGTGGCCCCCGGGGTGGCTTTGAGATTTTATTTTGTGTACGTTGTCCAGTTGTTACTACAGATGTACCCAAATAAAGGTTATGTGAATCTCTTCATTTTAAAGGCTGATGCGTCGTCTCGTTTTATTTTTGTTCTTCTGTTTTAATGTAGATGGTCTTTAGGCTACCTTTTCTGCGGGTGATTTAATTGTGGATAAGGAATTGTCCATGAATTATTTTTCTTTTTGAATTTGTGAGGGGGGGGGGGGGGAAGTTGAAGTTATACTTTTATTTTAAATGAAAAACAAAATAAACTGAATTAGCCGCACATATCACTCATATTTGAATACATAAGTGTACATATAGTTATTATTGAGTACACTATGACAGTAATAATTTTTTAAATATAAATTGCTGTATTCGAAAAAAAATGCATTGTGGGGGTGGGGTAGCGAGACTTAGTAACGACGGTGAGGTTAAAAAATAATTTTCAAAAGAAGAAAGGTGTCGTATATGGATGAGCCCAGACTTGAATTTGTAACAAGTTTATACAGTTTTGAAAACAGACTTAGTAAAGTACGAAATACTCATCGATTTACTGAAATGGGAACCATTTATGTTTATTTAGAATTGTTCACAAATTGTTCGAATGAACTGAAGAACAGACTCTTTCTAGCAGTAGTAGCCCACTGTTCTGGTTGTAATTAATTAAATATTAAAATTATGACAGTAAATAAAAAAAAACTGCGCGTGATTGTAATACCACGTTTGGGGGCACAACAGAGTTAAGGCACCTGCCTATACTATAACTATATAACTATCACTATACAAGTACCAACTTTATTCCTGCATGCATAAAAAAAAAATTACAAATTACATTTGTCTGGACAAGGCTGGACAAACAAATCAAATTAAATTATTTAAATATGTAGTTTGATTTACTTATAGTTTTTAGTTTTCAATGGGGAAGTAACTGCCTTTCTGTAAATAATGGTATATATAGAGAGAGTTATTTCCCTTGCACGAACAAAAAATCACATACATCTTACAAGACTAGTGCTGGAGGGGATAAAGAGTGGGAAATACATCGCAAGAGGGCCTCAGCGAGGGAGGGATATAGGTCACCTTTTGGTGACTTGCATTCACGAGCTCTTCAACGGTTGTAATTAGTATTAATAATTTAGGCGTGTCTTTTAGCACAGGGTGAAGTGGTTGCCTATACTGTACACTCTTTAATGTTGTGCACCCGTGTTTAAAATCTAAACGAACGTCTGTAGGCAGAAATATCACATGATGGGGTCGTAAAGATACCCTGTGGGTCGTGACAGTCAGTAACGCAGGTGAAGCAGAGTTTGCTTGTTTTCGTGTATAGTACGAGGTAGTGTAGCTAGTTATATTATTAAACCCAGCCATCTGTTTCACTAATGTGAGTCCGGTACCCATCTGAGCTGGGTGGGCTCAGGGGCGTTCTACGGACTCGAGCTTGGTGTGACGTCATGGTCCATGTCATAACCGATACCACATTCCTAGAGCTGATTGGTAAGCCTAATTAACCACGTACCCAGGTCTCTATAGCTAATTGGTGAGCCTAATTAACCACGTACCCAGGTCTAGAGCTGATTGGTGAGCCTAATTAACCACGTACCCAGGTCTCTATAGCTAATTGGTGAGCCTAATTAACCACGTACCCAGGTCTAGAGCTGATTGGTGAGCCTAATTAACCACGTACCCAGGTCTCTAGAGTTAATTCGTGAGCCTAATTAACCACGTACACAGGTCTCTATAGTTGATCAATGTGAGCTTATCCCCCTTACCCGGATCGTGCTAATCAAATCACGTGGCTGCCATCACGTGACTTGTAAATAAATGTATGTGGTGATAAATTAATGATACTAATCAGGTGCTATATTTAGAAACACGTGTATCAGATTGCAACCATGATACCAACACGTGATGCTGCTAGTACTAACCTGTTTAGTAACACGGTGTCCTAGGGATCTATCTATAGTATAGCAAATGGCTTAAGGTCTACTTCGACAAGGGGGTGAAAACTGACAATCACATTTAACAATCTATATAACAATAAAAGCGTGGACATCGCGCTATGAAACTTGATGAATTTGTAGATGTCACGTACGAGAAAACCAGGGAAAAACGTCAGAGAAATTTATGTCATTCAGTGCTAGTGTATGTTCGCTGTAGGCATATGGACCTTTGCATACAATAGGCAATACGTGTCTATGTTATCAAATCAACATAGTGAATTTAAAGAGTTATAGTAATGTTGATACGCCTACACTATCTAAAGGTATGAAATTTGCTACAATAAACGAACAAATATTTACATTTAAATATTATTAAGTTTTAGTACATAAAATATTTTTAAAAATATACCATCACACAAGCTGTATAAACAAAAACTATTTCAATTAAGGAAAGCAGATTTTAAAGTCGTTTTATTAAGACTGGAGCTTACATAACGATCTTCAAGACTTAATTACATTGCCAATTACTTTTGTTTTCCTGTAATTCTTTAAAAAAAACCCTTCATTTAAAACGACAAAAAAATAAAATTAGATTCATATGACAAGCGATTTATATGTTGCGTGATATTTTATATTTAATTGTGACTTGGTCCTATTTTAAGGGGACGGGGTGGTTTAGCGGTAGAGAAGTCGAAAGTCTCGAGTTCGAATCCGGGTTCAAGTCAGTAGAACGTCTTTGAGTTCACCCAGCTCTGATTGGTACCTAATTCAGGTTAGGGAAAGTAAAGGCGGATGGGCATAGGCTTGGGGTTGTGCTGTTGGGGGTTGTGTGGCTGGGGGTTGTGGGGGCTGGGGGTTGTGTGGGCTGGGAGTTGTGTGGCTTGGGGTTGTGTGGCTTGGGGTTGTGTGGTTGGGGGTTGTGTGATTGGGGGTTGTGTGGTTGGGGTTTGTGGGGGCTGGGGGTTGTGTGGCTGGGGGTTGTGTGGTTGGGGGTTGTGTGGTTGGGGGTTGTGTGGCTTGGGGTTGTGTGGTTGGGGGTTGTGTGGGCTGGGAGTTGTGGGGGCTGGGGGTTGTGTGGCTGGGGGTTGTGTGGTTGGGGGTTGTGTGGCTTGGGGTTGTGTGGCTGGGGTTTGTGGGGGCTGGGGGTTGTGTGGCTGGGGGTTGTGTGGTTGGGGGTTGTGTGGTTGGGGGTTGTGGGGGCTTGGGGTTGTGTGGCTTGGGGTTGTGTGGTTGGGGGTTGTGTGGGCTGGGAGTTGTGGGGGCTGGGGGTTGTGTGGTTGGGGGTTGTGTGGGCTGGGAGTTGTGGGGGTTGTGTGGCTTGGGGTTGTGTGGCTTGGGGTTGTGTGGTTGGGGGTTGTGTGGGCTGGGAGTTGTGGGGGCTGGGGGTTGTGGTGGCTGGAGGTTTGTGGGGGCTGGGGGTTGTGTGGTTGGGGGTTGTGGGGGCTGGGGATTGTGGGGGTTGTGTGGCTTGGGGTTGTGTGGTTGGGGATTGGTTTACTTGAAACATAATTGGGCCACATTTAACAAAATGGTCATGGAGGAAGATTTTTTCAGTCAATGTATTGCCTTACAATACTTAGAGCAATGACTCTTGACTTCCTGCACCGGCGCAGCTGTTTCTCAACGCCTCCCTACTTGGCACATTGCGACACAACTCATTGATGTTTTCAAGATAAGTAGCCAGGTTTTTCCCACGCTGTATGCTAATGTTATTGGAACTTTATTTGGCCAAGTATTGAATTTACGTTTTCAAAAGCGGCCGACGAATATGATTTTGTTAAAATTTTAATTATAAAAGAAAGGTAGCATACATGATGTATTGCATTAATTTTCTGATTTATAAAAGAAAATTAAGTTAGGAGGTCAGGCTTTATAAAAAAAACCACCCAGATATTTGATCTAATTAATAGCAGTGTTTCTTCCAGACTTTTTTTCTCCGGGGGGGGGGGGGGCACTTGAAATTTTCGGGGGGGGGGGGGGGCGGTAACCCGGACACTGTTAAAAGTATATATTTTCTATATAAATTATATAAATTTCATTTCGTTCGGGGGGGGGGGCGGTAAAAAATTTTCGGGCCTGGAAGAAACTCTGATTAATAGGTTACACGTTTTCTGTGTAGTACAAAGTGACGTAATTTTGTACATACACAGAAACTAGGTTTTTGTACTGAACTTGTATGATTAGCCTATAGACACCTATCTCTATATCTGGCGATGTTGTTTTACGATTGATGTCGTGTTGTATATTCGTTCTTGGGGACATACATTTTTTGTTTAAATACCAGTACTGTAATGATAATTAGACATTTTTAAAATACCAGCAAATTTATGTTGATTTAACTTTACACACACTGAACAATCTTAATAAAAAATGCAAAAAATTTCACGAAGAGCTGTTAACCATCTGGATATTGGACATTCACAGCATTAACCATGTAAAGCTGTTGACCTTATGAAAGTTGAACTGTCCAGCATATATGACGTAAAGCTATTAAAACTTCTAGATGGTGGACGCATCCTCCATACAGCACGTAAAAGCTGTTGACCTCTAGATATTGGACAATCACAGAATACAGCACGTAAAAGCTGTTGACCTTATGAAAGTTGAACTGTCCCAGCATACGTGACGTAAACAGTGTTTCTTTCAGACTTTTTTCTCCGGGCGGGGGGGCACTTGAAATTTTCGGGGGGTGGGGGGCGATCAACATTTTTCGGGGAAGGGGGGGGAGGGGCGGACACTAGTAAAAGTGTATGTTTACTATATAAAATCCATCTCCGTCGGGGGGAGGGGCGGTAGACTT